TGAAGGCAGACCTTGCAAAGACACATGGAGCCTCTGTGGTGCAGAGGAACCCTAAAATAACCCCAAAATAAGCTACCGGCTCACTGGAACTTCCAAGTTAGTGTTGGCAGGTACAGTATATGCACACACTCAAAGACTCTTGCGAAAACAAATTCCCAAAAAGTTGTGATAAGAGAATTTCTGATAAAGCCTAAACAACACACACTTATTAATGGGCTATTCATTTAGAAAGTTGTTTTTAATTGCACTTGGTACTTGTTTGTAAATCGAATCAGTGACAATAGAGCCCTCCCTCCCTAATTTTAATACATGGCCCTTGCCAACTGATGTTTGCCTGAGGCCTTATATAACAGCTGTTTTACAAGCCTAGATTTTCATCACAAAGCAAATACCTGAAAACAGGAGCTGCATCTCATAAACCTGCAAGTCTGTCATTGTAGTACATGGTAGCGTGATTCAGAGCACTTAATTTAAACCACAGAATAATGCAATCTCTATTAAGTACATTATTTTTTTTTTCTGAAATGACTAATGTGCCATTATAAGTGAAAATATACTTTTTTCTTATTTTCTTCACAAAGGAGCTGTTGTTTGGCAAAATCTTGTCACAATCCCTTTTTATTTTTTTACAAAAGTCCTTTTTAATCAAACCAAATTATAGGTCATAACTACCAAGCTAGGGATATTATTTAGGTAACCAGAGTGAAAATATAAGCCAAATACACGCCAAAATAAAAGATAAATTAACTGAGATGAACCCCTATGATAGTACACAAAAAAGTTCTCAATGTTTCTAAAATGTGTTTAGAATATCCAGGCTACATCCGATTGTGCTGACATCATTAGATGCTGCCTGCTCTGCTGTACCTGTCTGAGTCATCTGGCCAATCTGTCAGCTGTCTCTCCCCTTCTCTGGGGAATTATTTTAGCCAGCTGCCATATCACCCTGCAGCTCACAACTAGCAACCCACTGAAGCTACGCAGGTGTGAGCCTGGTCAGTACCTGGAGACCTCCTTGGAAAAACTAAGGTGCTGCTGGAAGAGGTGTTAGTGGGGCCAGCAGGGGGCGCTCACCCTGTAGTCTATCTGGATCCTGATGCCCCAGTACAGTGACGGGGTCACTACAGTATATTGTAAAAAGGCACTGTCCTTCGGATGAGACATTAAACCAAGGTCCTGACTTTCTGTGGTCATGAAAAATCCCAGGGTGTTTCTTGAAAAGAGTAGGGGCATAGCCCTGCGTCCTGGTCAAATTTCCCCCTGGCCTTTACGAATCATGGCCTCTTAATAATCCCCATCAGAGTAACCGGCTTCATTACTCTGTTCTCCCCACTAATAGCTGGTGTGTGGGGAGCGTTCTGGTGCATCATCCGGGTGATGGTGGAGGGGAGTCCCCATTACCTGTAAAGCACCTTGAGTGAAGTGTCCAGAAAAGCGTGTTATAAGTGTAAGCAATTATTACTACATTCGGGATGCATCGGCTAAAATGAACCCCTCAGCGCTCTTAGAATCAGTCAAACATGTCACATTCGTATTCTCTTACCTCAATGGCGTCTTTGATTTCCTTGGCATCTTGATAAGCAGGTGGTCTCATCAATCCCGCAATCAAACGTTCAAACTTCCCTGTCAGTTCATATTTCAGGTCACCAATCAAGTCCTAAGAAAAAGTGTGTAGAAAAAGCTAATCTTAATCTACAGCACAAAAACTCCTCAAGATCACAGAAGAGTTGTGTTAAATTCTCTGCCCCCAGACCACAATCGTGCAGGACCTGTGCTATTAGTACTGCTGATGCTCTTCAACAGGGCATTCCTGAGAAACCTCTACATTAATGAAGCACAGGTGAAAGAAACAAATCATTTTTTTCTAATACAGGCGTTTTCAATTATTCATTTTGAGGAATATTATAATGTTTAAGAAGGATTTGGTAACAGAAATAGCACAAGATGAAGGACGTCTAAAAGTCCAAATGATGTCACATTCATTAAGTTCTAAAAACGTACCTTTCCGTAATGAGATTTGTAGGCGGCACAAATTTCCTGCCTCTGGGCATTACTTCTGGAAGTAATCAGATCTAAAATCGTATCTTTGTCACTGCCTGCCAGGAAACACAACAAGACAGGAGAACAATTTCTATTTTTTATAAATTCCCACTATAAACATTTATGCACGCAGACCCTATATCTAGTAATTCAACAAATAAAGTTCAAACTAAAATACATTTTTAATATTCCACACATTTAAATACAGGTTTTAAGAAGCATTATGTCCGACAAAAACAGTTTGACTATTTTTAGTTTTAAAAAATTACTAATTGTATTTTGTAAAAAAATGACTTTCATTAACAGGATCCTCCCCTTTATGAATTATTAAGCACTATCAATTACCTAAGCACAGTTATGAACAATACACTCTGTTCACTGTCATCAGTGACATCAAAATCTTACCAATTCCTTTCATAGCTTTATACAGTACTTCAGCATCACTGCTTGGATCAAAATCAGGAAAGTTGACAATAGTGCCTCTGTATTTAGCTCCCTGCAGAAGAAACAGGGGAAATATTTCCATCAAAACATTTAAACAATATTGACAGTACATCATGACTAACATATCCCAAAGAATTTGCAATTGTCAATGGGAGATAATCTGAGACCTTTTACTTTTAAAACAGAAAATATCATGAAATCCTAGCAAGATTGTAATCTAAAGACTTCAATTTGGTCTCTGATGCCTACAGTTTAAAGTTTCTGTCTAACTTCAGGAACACATGCAGGTTAAATTCTCTAAATCCCTGCTGTTACTGCACCAGATTAACAGATTGAAATCAAAAGTGATGAAGAACCTGCACACTCAAAAATGATATGTTCAGTCTGGCTGTGGCAGATACATTACATGCATTTAACTAGTCAAAGAATTTACTTTTATTTTCAGCTATGCATTATTCATACTTTATAAGTGTCAAGTGTCTATGGGTGCTATACTATAGCTTTTTCTTCCAGTCGTACATAATGCTACGTTACTACTCATCCTATTAGCTAATCAACACAGACTTTTCTGCAGATTTGTGCCACCTGATAAAATAAGCCCAACCCCGACAGTCCCATTGATTTTTTTAATAAATGAAATATTTAGGATACAATTTTAAGCCAAATTGGAGGAGTGTTTTTTCCAATTTAACTGCGATGAGAAAGGTGATGGCCCCTGCTCTCTGGAGAAGGAGGCTTTTATTACTGAAAATTCTTCAGTATTTGCCTCATAACTGCAAGGATCCTGTCAGTGGCAAAGTACTATTTTGGATTCGACAGCCACACCCACTTTTCCAGAACATGCTCAACAACCAGCCTTTTTAGAAAATACTGAAACCTGCTGCTTATACATTGTGCAGAAATTTGGCTTAATAAATATTGAGAGAATTAATACTTTAACTTTAACCTGGTGAATCCAACAGCCAATTAGTCTAAGACTCTGCAGCTATGAATGTTTTGCAGATATTCCTACCAGTCCTGTCTGGAGGCGTACAAATCTCTTGCTGGAAAATATAAGCTCAAGTGTTTGCATGGACCACACGGAAGGCCCCAAACCCCATCTTAATTGCCACGTGCCCAATCTTCCATTCTTGGGCTTCCTCCCACTGCAGAGACATCTCCAAGCAGCTGACACCTGTCATTCTAGAGGGTCTCCATTTTTTCAGCAGATCCATTGTTGAATAAATGGTGTCAGTAATGCTAGGTGTCCAGTTACATACAGCTGCATCTACGCTCTATATCGGGTTCCACATCAATGTGGGGTCTCAATGCTGTATATATACATTATAAATCATTCCCACTTTTATCTAGCAGCTAGGGAACAAAGACTATTCTTCGTAGAACTTCAGGGTGAAAAGACTAGAGTTTCATAGTGTTACACCCAAAACATTAATTCGAAAAAAGGGTATTAAAACGTTGCTAAACACAAAGTCAGACAGATATTAATGTTGTTTCCAGAAAAAATTACAGTTACAGGTTATGAACAACAGCCTTACGCACTGGAATATCAAATTCATGCATGTGCTTTTGAGTAGGGGGCAGGATCACCACTTTCTTGAAAAGGTCTTCTGCAGAGGATCAAAGTTCAATGCTTTTTTAAAAGGTCAAAACTGAATATTCCACTTCTCTGTTGCTGATCTTTCTTCCTTCACTGCAGAGTCTGTCATCTTTTGTAGTGTGTTCTCAGGGAAACAGGCTTTCTGTCTGCTCTATCTGTCAACATTATTTTGTCATTGACAACACCCACACAAACTGTCACAAGAATTAATCTCCAGCCTCCAAAGTTAATTTGGCTCATGGCCATGATATACAGTAGCTTCCCTTCTGCAAAGATCACCATTTTTTTCCATTTAAAAAGGAAAACTGATTTTTAAGGCACTCTGGTACAGGCCCTTCAGTCATCTGAACAGCTGCACTGGGATTACAAACCCAGATGACCAGCCTGGGACATACACCTGTTGTGATGACATAGCCAGGCCTACAGTATCTAGCTATCACTATAGCCAACATGGCTAAAGTAGTAAAGAAACCATTCAAAATGCATTATTTTAGGCTCTACGATGATGATAAATTAAGTGCTACAGCATTAGAAACCAACAGCCTGAACTGACTGAATTTTTCAGTGTAGGGCTATGCACTGGTAGAAGCACAGGAAGGTTTATATGAAACTTGAGAGAAGATGATAACCGTAGAGTGCAGATTTCTGAACTATCAGATCCTCTCCCTTTCATTATGTAGATGACAATTAAACACGGGATTTCAGTTTCAACTGTGATGCCATGTTATTATTAAGCACTACTCATAATTTAAGCTATATTAGTTCAGGTGGGGAGCTGTGTCAGCATGCATAGGCTGCAAAGGAACAATAGGTTTATTCCATGCTGAAAAAAAGAAGAAAGAAAACAACGTTTCGGCCATGGAGCCTTCTTCAAGGCCAAAACGTTGTTTTCTTTCTTCTTTTTTTCAGCATGGAATAAAACTATTACTTGTTCATTTAAGCCATATGTTTATATATATATATCACTGTGGGTATTGTATATATTATTACCTGCACAGATTGACAAGTAGACTAATCAATGCATTGATACAGTAGACATATAGATCTAAACATACTGTAGAAAGTACAAAAGTAACATTAATATTAAGAGCATTAATATTTACTGACAGAAACTAAAGTTATTGTAATAAATGTTTTTTTTATTTTAAAATACATTCTCAATTTCTGTAAAATACATTTTCAACTTCCACATTTTCAACTCACCTTTGCTTTGCCTGCCATTTTGTCTGGGTATTCAGTAAAGTCAGATAAAGCAAAACAAGTTGTCACTGTGGGGAAAGAAAATATGAAGAATAAATGCAGTTCATAAGCATATGCTATAACCCTCCATTTCTATTTGATAAAGCTTTCTTTACTTCAACAATTCGAGTAGAGAGATCCAGAGAAAAATGCCCAATACAATACTGTGACAGCTCTCAGTAAACTCTACTGAGCAGGTTCTCAGTTTTACATCTTGATGTGCTATTATTACAGTATATTACCATCAGTGCCACAGAAAATGAGAGTTTAGTTTTCTTCTGCTGGTACTGCATGTAACCAAGAAATTTTAATGTGTATCATTTCATCAAACTGCGCTGCAAACATGATTGTTGGTCTGTCGTGCGGTGAGTGAATGCATTTGAAAGGCTCCCATCCTCCAGAAGTAAACTCCAAAATCCAACCTGTCAACTCCAAACTGAAGATGAATAATAACAAATAGGTTGAAAGAAACACAGTAATCGTTATCAGTCCTTCGGTATCCAAATTCTGTAAAATAAACAGACAGATAATTTGGGAATTCTCAGTTATTCTATCCAGCTAACTTGGATTTTATAATATAGCACCTCAGCCTACACAACCCGTATTTTGTTGTTATTCCAATCTGGAATTGTTTGGAGGAGAGACCTCTGCCTTACAGCAAAAGGCTCTGACCCACGGTCAGAAGAGATGCTCTTTACAGCAGATCCTGAAGAAGCAGACGGGTGTTTCTGCAGGCTCAGCTCTTTGCTCCATTGCAGTGGCCAGGACTGAAAGCACTGCATTGTGGGCAGACCTACTGCAGGCAACTGTTCAAGGCCTTAAACCAGGCTGCTTTCTTGTACAGGGGTGTATACATTCAGAAAGACCAAACCTAAAAATCCCCCATACATCGTGCTCACTTTGTGATATACAGTCCGTTTATGTTAGCATTAATAAACCATTTAAATATCAGCAAAGTGAACATACAACAGCTCAAACTTTTTCCCAAATATAAGCTATACTTTTTTAAAATAACAAAATGTTCTCTAATAATCTTTACTAAAGCAAAACATGATCCGTAAATATTTTTAAACCATCAATCATAGTGTTAGTCTTCAATTGTTGTTTTTCTTATTATTTGAAATTATTGGTATCATTTTAGTGCAGCTCTGTATCTCTAATAAAACACCAGCAAAGTTAGAACTATAGTCAAAGGTCTGCTAGTTTGCTATAGTTTCCACCTAATTACACTCTAATTATTGTTTTGTTAGGGGAAAAAAGTACAGACAGTAAAAATAATCTAATAACATGATCGACTGATACATAAAACAGAACATACGGATTGGTTTGACCAACATAAAAGCATTTTCCTATTGCATCGGTTTTACTGCATTTCATAGAAAGAAAAGAAAGTGTACACAAAGTCAGATTTTTACAGTACATAAGCTGCACCATATGCTCCAATCTGACACGTTGCTAGAAGCTGTAACCTTGATAGAAGGCCTAGCTGAAATTAAAGAATACAGGAAGTTCTTTCATACATCTCTTTACATTTCTTTAAACTTGCAATGCTAAGAACACTCAAAGGATGAAACAGCCTAAGCCTAAGCATAGATATGAATTTTGAAAAGCAGCACTGTGCTCCTTTGTGCTGATCAGTCGGTTTATAACAATCCAGCTGTGCCAGAATACAGAAGAGCACCAGATCTTACAAACCCTTCTTGGCCAAATAAAGTGTCTATTCTGCAATTCAATGTTTTCATTCCAACACAGACTTTAAATCCTGACCATCCTTATTTCAATTTACAAAGACAAATCTGAAATTGTATTATGCAAAGATTATATTTATAGCTTTTTCAGCATTGAGACCTGTAATATTTGTTTTCAATATCACTGCAATAAATCTGTATTTTCTACAGCCATGTTTTGATAAATATTTAGTTTTTTTTTTCAATGTAGCCCTGTTTATCTTAACATTTCTAAGCACATTCTGTTTTATTTTCAGACATAAATATTTACCAAACATGATACACTTCAGTCTGGCAACTCCATGTTTAAATGTTTAATGTAATGAGTGTGGTGGTTGGGATTGGTGGAAATGTTCTTCTAGAATACTCTTCTTGCTGCTGAATGTGTACCCTAAGAAAGGACCTTCATGTCCTTATAAAATATGCAAAATGTCAAAGACTCCCTATGAGGCCTTGACCACACCCAACGTCACTGTTCTGTGAGGGAGCACTTTGATGCTGTAATACTTTTACTCTTTCCTCTCACAAACACAAAGTATATATTAAATAGCCTTTAACACTGTTGATTCGTATAATCATTCAGGAGAACATAAGTTAGAACATGGATAAATATTTGCTGAACTTCTTTGGGTTTAAAAGCCCCACAGACAAGCAATATGGTAACTGCCACTCCAAACATAATATTTCAGCTGCTGCCGATTGGCAAAGGATGGATATTCTTTAAGTTCTGAAGCTGAATTAATTCTTTTTTAATTTTATTGAAAAAAAAACACATACAAGAAGCACTGAAGTGACCTTAAAACAGTCCCCCTATTGAAATTCATTTTGTTGTACAACGACGGTATCAAACACAATACCTTTCTTGTGTGAAGAGAACAGCAGTTGCTCTTAGGTTACTCGTACAGTATGTCCCTGAAGTAATGAAAACTACAACGATGCAAATCAAACGCCTTCTATTCCCTCCTCCTAAACGCGCCGTTACGTTAACAACCTACAGTATTTTTAACAATCACCATCCAACCTGTAATTCAGCAAAGAGTTTATTCTATTTTTAAGGAACGTTGGACTCACGTCAGCGGAAGACTTGATGCCCTCGAATTCTTAAAGGCAGAAGTGTCGCTGCGAGTTCTCTGTCCCAGCCGCTCCAAGCGTCTGCAGATCCGGACAGCTAGACACCGCAGAGCCGCTCCACAGCTGTTGCCTATCTTAGGACGAGTGACGTAACAAGCGTGTCCTGCAGATCTGAGCGCTCTGCAGTATGTTCCCCCTACTTCTGCCCGGATTGCTCACGCGAAAATGGACCTCCACGGACAGCAAAAATGAAGCCCTGTAATTTACTAGTAGGAGGGGTGTATTTACTGTACACTGCCAGTAAAAGCTTGCCAACAGTGCAGAATATGTTTATTAAACCAACTTGCCGAACTATGTGGAATCCTTCTCTGTGTGGAGTGCATTTAAAATGGGGAATTTAAATACTTCTTCCAAGCTTAATTGTGTGGTACAGCATTTTCCATTCTTGTTTGGGAGAAATCACAATGAAATATCTCAGCCGTCTCTTTACAAAAGGCCTTGACAAATGGGTTCTTAAAATGACTGTTGCTGAGGGACCCTCTCAAGCTGTAGATTTCAATATGGACGTCACAGCCCCTCTCCTTGACTTATCTGTTGATACCATCAACCTGATAACGGACAGATTCTAGGGTCTTGGCATGACTGACTTACAATTCCAAGACTTCATTGACCTGTTTCCAAGGACTCTTAGGAAAAATAAAGACCATCTTTGTGTGAGAACCACAGTTTCAGAACAGTTTTTTTTGTTATTAGATATTGATATAAAGATAGAAAATAACAAATGGATGTGGAATTATTCACCTTCATTCACAGGGAATATGCAGAGAAGGGTGTGGCTGTTCTGTAGTGGCTCTAGTGACAGAGCCGGGATTCCTGACTGAGTCTGCTGTAGTGCAAAGGCATCTGATAATCCTGTTCTATTTCTGTCTCTGCAGTGGGCCCTTCCAGTAACAGGCTGTAGAATGTCAGAGCCAACAGAGAGAGACAGAGGAATGTCTCTCCTGTCAACTACCGCTGCCCAGAAAAAACCTACGCTTAGGCTCGAGAAATCAGCACTATCTCATGTTTTCAGATCTCCATCGTTTTTTTTTTCTTCAACTTGATGAGTCACCTTTGCAGACTTCCCCGATTCACTAAAGACATGCAGAGACTGAGACATAAAAACTCATGTGCACTTCTTAACTCCATTGTCTCTGTCAAAGATGAAATGAGCACAAATCGCGAAACATTTTGAAACGAGAAGATATTTAAAAAAAAAAACATCAAATAACAAATGAAAAATGCAAAGTGTGAGATGCAGTAGAAATTGACCAAGAGGACTCACCCCAAACCTTTTATCAGGGCCCTAAACTGGGAGACAATTCTCTCTATGAGTTAGATACAGTATGTCAGGGCTAACTTGTAATATATGCAGGCAAACTAAAAACAAAGAGTGGATCTGCACAGATCATCTGTGAAACACATTAAAACTATGGAAGGTATAGTTAATAATTCTTAATATTTTCTTACTTTCATCAAAATGTGTTTTCTGCACTAGCTGAGTCTTTGAAACCTGAGGAAATTAACATATCCTTTTTACCTCTCCAAATCTGTTCTAATATCTAATCTCAAAATATTAAAGACACCTGCTCACACCTGAAGAAGGCTCCAAGGCCGAAATGTGTTTTCTTTCGTCTTTTTTCAACACGGAATAAACATATTACTTGTTCCTTTGTAGCCTACACATGCTGATGCAGCTACCCACCTGAACTCAAAATATTAAATCTGTCTCTTCCCTTAATCTTAAAATACGGAAGCCCGTTTTCGCCAGGTAGTAAAAAAAAACAGTGCTATGGTATCTCGCAATTAAGATTTTGTATCTCAGAATTACGACTTTATTTCTCGTAATTACGAGTTTATATCTCGCAATTACGACATAGAATCTCAGAATTACGACTTCATATCTCGCACATAAGACTTTATATCTCACAATTGTGTGTTGTCAGCTAAATTAAAGACGACCAAGTAAAAAAGGAATTGTACAAAAATTGTTTTGGATACATTTGCAAAATGTTAGTTAAACATTTAAAGGTACATGTTAAATTTAAAGATTTTGATATTTTAAATGTCCGATTTGGATAAAGGATATATTCTTATTATTAATCTGTTAATTACTGTATGTTGGCGAAATGCTTCACCCACAAAAGTAATCTAATACTACACCCTCTATTGATGCTTTTAAATTACAATTCCTTTTTTACTTAAATTCTATTAGAAATTTAAATAATCAAAAGGCAAGGCATACAATGCCTTGTATGGAAATGTGTAAAAAGTATAAGTTTCAGCTTTTATAATTGTGAATTCCTCACAATGTGAAGTTTCTATTTCTGTATCTTTTTTCATATTCAGTCTCCTTCTTTGTATTTCTGGTGTTTAAAAGCTTTTTTTTAAAAGCCCACCGTCCACTATTCCATCCAAGTACTTTGGAAGCCTCCGTGGTGGAAATGGGATTCCATAACAATCCGTGTAATTTGATTTTTATCAGGGCACTGTACAAGACATGTCTTCAGGCCTGTAGATCCTATGATCCTGTACGATTTATGAATACAGTGTAACGGAACAGCCGACATACAGGTGGGACGATTTGCTGCCCTCCCCTGCACATAACAGGGATGTTGGCCGCCAGGACTAAAGCAAAGAAGGTCTTTAGCTCAGCTGGCAAGACTTGGGTTCGAGCCTATGCTGTGAGGCACGAACTAAGGTGGGAGCGGCGAGGGCACAAGCCCTAGATCCCGAATGCGTTACAATAACAAGAGGACAGACAATGTGATGTGGGCCACAAGTCGCAATTAAGAGATACCATAGCGCGTTTTTTTTTTTTACTCCCAGGCGGAAACGGGCTTCCATATAAAACAGCTCCGCAGACAGTTCTTTTTCGGGGGTGGGGAGGAGGAGTAGGGACATGGTCCCCCCCCAATGAGATCACATTTCCACAATTTCGACTCCCAGAGCGGTGAACGTACATACGTGCGTGAAAATAAGTGGCGAAGGAGAACAGGTCAAACACGATGAGGAATCAGGATGGGATGACAGACGGGGGCGGTGATCTGGTGCTCGGGGTGAGGGGGGGCTTGGCGCAGGCGAACAAGTCCAAAGGGGATCCGGGAACCGGGAGAACCATCAGAGACAGACGAAGCTAAAACCCGCAACGGGATCCGGAACAGAGAGTTAAAACGACACAACGAGCCCCCGATTCAGACGCCGTGATGAAACCTATGTCGTCGGGTCTCTCCTGGCCCTGCTGGCAGGCGAGATTCTGAGTGTCCATCTTCCAATACTGAGCTAGGAATAGCGAGAGCACCAGGCTTAAATAATGAGAGATTAAACAGGGGGCAGGTGCACGTAATCGACTAAAATACGACAGGGTCGGAGCACCCTTAAGATCATGACAAAGACTGCTTATTTCTTTGTGTAATTGGTTTATTCTTGCATTATTCCTGCATTGTTCTGCAAGGACACCTATAGTATTTAATTAAACCAAAACATGGTTCACAGCTCCACATCATTTTTTATTCTTTTAACGTATCAGATGTCTTCCAGGTTCAGCCATACATGGTGGCTACTAATTTCTTTGCTTTGTGTTTAATTTGGAGAATATCAAACCTTAATAATGTAACGGGACGTGGTGGTGGGTTGTTTGGTTGTTTTTTTAGCATTCTGTGTTCTGAAGTTTGATGGTGTTGTGGACAATCAAAGTCTGAAAATATTTCCATATGCTGCCTTCTTGTTTGGCCATCTCGTGACAGATACCATCCAGGTGTTATATGTCCTTCCTCATATGCCTTTGTACATCTGTTTTTAGCATGTTTCTTTCTGTTTCAGTTCCCTCTTTTCCTTAATCTCATTCACTGTGCGGTCAGATATCCAAGGTTTCCACCTTTTGCCCTTCACAGACCTTATTGTGTCTTTAAGGGGCTGATTGAGTCACAATGTCCAATAGGAGTAATTCTTGATTCAAGACATAGTGGAAATGATGATAAAGAAATGAAGCTATTTCCCTTTTAAATCTAAAACCCCGTAGGATACAGTTATATTCTAACCTCCTGTGACAAATAGTTCTGCTAATAAATACAATTTATTTCCCGAATCACCAGTGTTCCAACCCAGAAAATGAGAGGACAATAAAGATTACCCAGCAGCTATATCACTCTGTAACTCAAAACTGGCAACTCATTGAAGCCACACAGGTACTGTATGCGCCTGGAGGGGAGACCCCTGGGAAAGCCGAGGCTGGAAGAGGTGGTAGTGGGACCTGTTGGGGGCACTCAACGTGTGGTCTGTATGGGTCCTAATGCCCCAGTATAGTGACAGGGATACTATACTGTAAAAAGGTGCTGTCCTTAGGATGGGATGTAAAATGGGGTCCTGACTCTCTGTGGTAATTAAAAATCCAAGGGTGTTTCTCTAAAAGAGTAGGGGTGTTTCCCCACCATCCTGGCCAAATTTTCCATTGGTCTTTACCAATCATGGCCTCCTAATAATCCCTATCTATGAACTGGCTTCATCACTATGTTCTCCTCCCCACTGATAGCTGTGTGGTGAGAGTACTGGCACACTATGGTTGCCATCGCATCATCCAGGTGGGGCTGCACATTCATTGGTGGTGGTGGTGGAGGAGAGTCCCCATTAGCGCTTTGAGTGGACTGTCCAGAAAAGTGCCATATAAGTGAAAGTAATTATTATTATTAAGTACAAATATATCAAGTCATGGGAAGGCAGGGTATTGGAATTAAAAATTAAATTTGAAAGCACTTAAAGTACAAATAAAATGAGTTTTGTCAATACAGTATCATACAAAGGACAGAAAGGAAAGAATGCTGAGTGATTAGACCAGTAAATACCTTATTACTTCTGAAAAAGATATCACATAATAAATATCTGAACAGTTTAAAGAATTCCAATATAAAAAAATATCAGTACAGTTAAAAATAATATTGTCACTCACGTATTGCTAAAACTCATTTCCTTAATAACAAAGAAGAAAATATGTGTTATGCTGCCCTCTACTGCAATCAGACAAAACCAGAGATGTGTCATCACTGAATTATGTTAAAATTCTTGAGTCCAGTGAAAGCATAACAAGAAATGTGAGTTCAGTCAAATGATTTTTTTACCTTGAAAAGTATAGGAGAGCAGATTGTCGACAGAATTACGACAATTGTCCATTGTCTACCCATTTACATTTAAAACAAAATATAGTTATCCAAATGCCCGCTTTGCCTATTGTAATTACAGTTTTAGAAGCATGTTTGTCAGTGTAGGAAAACTGTAATGGTAATTCTGTCATATTTGAATTCTTACAAGATTTAAACACAACAATAGAAGCATAATTGTTTAATAGCTCAGTGCCCAGTGTTGGAGCTTAGTATTATAAGGTGTAACAAATCCAGAGACAGTTGTCCTAACATATGATGAAATTATTTATTCACAGGTAAATATATTCCTGAATGCCTTTCTTTCTCTCGTTCCACATTTTTAGCTTATCATAATTATGTTTTTCTCCAGAAAATAACCACATGATAGTCCACACACATTCCCCTCTTTCTGAAATCAGTGAACTGCAGGGCAGAAGGGTGGGCTGGAGGTCATTCATTTAGCATAAACACATTTTTCTTTGCAGTGTGTAACTTTTCCTGCACAATTCGTATTCTGTGTCTTCTGTGGAATAATAAGCTTATGGTACGATTTGGAAACTGCTGTGAGAATTTTTTTTTTCACTAATCCCAGGCAGTGGGCAGGCTTAACTATTCTAGTGGCTAGGCTCATATATTGTAGTAAAATAATCTTGCAGCACTGGAGTAAACAGACGCAACCTATTCACTTCATTTGCTTTATGAAGCCGTTTTACATAGGAGGTTTGGTTTATTATAAAGGTAACTGTGGTTTTGTTTTTTGCATAGCCCAATAGCATGTCTATTATTCTTATTTACAAGTAGTGACAGTGAAAAGAAATGTAAAGATTTTGGGGGATGAGGAGACATAATGTTGTAGACATTTACAGCCTGGAGGGTGATTAATATGATTTTATTCAGGCTTATAGTTCTGTTTTTAGAGGTAAAATACTGCTCAGGTCCTTACAATTGTAAACATTCGGGTGACGTTTAATCACCCATAGGTGGTTAACTTCTCTTATGTGAGCAGTGTACATCTTTGTGAAAGACTAAATGACACAAAAATGTAACTGAAGAATCTGCCATTAATGTTGGGTGTGTGTGTATGTGGAGGTGGGCTGTAGACCCATCAACTGGACTAACTCTGATGATTTTTTTCCATTTACTCAGTCTTTATTTGGTGCAAGTTAGAAAAGTAATTCTTAACAACGTGTTGGTTTAACTTGGTGTTTTAAATCAACGTAAGGACGTAAGAACATTCAAATGTGTGTGTTTTTTTTTACTATAAGAGATTATTTGATAATTTCATTTCAATTAATACTGGCTAAAATGTTATGCAAGTATAAATGCAAGACCTGAGCCCTTTCCCAGACCCTGGGAAGCTTTTGGGAAGAAAAGGAAGTCATAAGGGTGATGGAACGCACCCCTCCAGTATGGGCAGTGTGGCAGGTCATCAAGAGGAACTGACTGCCTTTCACCATGGACTGGACCTCAGCCACACTCTTCAGCATAGTCAAAAAATTACCCCCCACCCCATACACCTAGATCCCCAGAAGAGGGAAAGTGTGTTGATTTATGTGGGGTTAAGGTGCTTTACTGAGCTGAATTAATTATCCAATTTTGTTTTTTGATTGATGTTCCCCCTTTTTGAAAATGTTCCTTCCATCTTTTACCCTGTGACCACTATTGCAGGGTCGCTCGTAAAATGGCTTGGGTGGTAGTGAGATTTTTACTCTTCATTCTCCTCCCTCTTCTGAGACCCTCTCCCCATTCTAAAACAATCCAGTGCACTCCCAAAACACTTCAGCGTACATACATTATAGGAGTATAGTAAATCAATTAAGATTTTTAATCAATTAAAACAGAGACACGATTAGCCAATTAGCTGACAATAATTGAGCATCCCCCAATTTAAATATGTTTGCATAAGAAGGATGAAAAATAATCATATCCCAGTATGATGATCTGTATATTTAATAATAATCTATACATTTTATAATGGTGCTGTACTTGACACAAATCAAGTCAGTCGTGTGGTGAAATTTTAAGTGTCTGTTGTGTTCGTACTGAGTACGCTTTTGAAGGAGTTTTGACCTCTTCACAAGAAACTTTAACTGCAAAGTTTACTGAACTGAACTTTGCCTTCTCTAGGAACATTAGCCTCAGGTATTGTTATATTAACATCAACTGTCTCGTGTTTCTAAGATCCTGTATTGTTATGTGATGCTATCTAAGGCTCTATGGTTTTTGTATATTTTTTTAGATGAAGTTCAGTTTTGGTTTATTTACAGATAATCAAATATGCATCTCAAGTAAGAGTGAAGACTGCATCTGTGGTGTATATTCAGATTACAGTGTATATTGAATTATGGTGCAAATTAAAATTTCAATAGAGAAATGGTTCATTTAAACTTGATGGTTCAGTGGCCTTAAGTTCTTTTTAGTAACAAGTCCATCCTAAATGTAACAGATCTATCAAAAATGCTGTGTGTATTTCAGAGATGTGAAAGCAAACAGAATACTACCGATGACATGGACTGTGAACACCTTTACTGTAGAGACATCCAAGGGAAACAGAAGGAATTGCATCAACACCACAGAGCCCAGTACCTTCGGATAGCAGGTACGTTGACCTTCATGGAAAAATATGTTATAAATAAAATTCATTGAGTCACATTAAGGATGTTGTTTTAGAGTAGAATAATAAGGAAATATTCTACTACACTACCTTCAAGGCTTGATGCACAAAGCTGAACATGCCATAGAAATTAAGCTTCAAAGTTACAGTGACATAATAGAAAAATCATTTTCAAGCAAGGATATCTTTCAGTTGTAACAAAGGTAGAGAAATGACTGTAAGTGCAAATACTAGTCTTTCAAGATGCCTTTGAACATTTTTTATTATCCTTTATTTTTAGATTAGTTAAATTTTAATAATTGAATAATGAATTGAGTATCAAATCCAACTCAATAGAAAATAAAATTATATATACAGTATGTAATGTGTTCTTTACTAAACTGTAGTTAAATAATCTTAGGTTAGACATGATCCATAGTTAAAATACATGCATGTTATGAACATCAATAATTGACCTAAAGCATCCATTAGTTTTTTCCACTATTATGCCAACTTTGACTGATTATAATACAGTTTAGTTTAGGTGTGAAGGGACCAATCTTGACATTTGGCATCTTATTTACATATCAGAATCTTCAAAAACTTGGTCAAAACAATGCAATGTTCTAATTAGATCAATCTAATCTAAGATCAGGTTTATTGGGTGTTCGTTATTGACTTCATTTATTCCTCTAGACACACATGTAAAGCTTAAAGGCAGATTTTTATACCATGCAACAAAGATTTTTTAGGATTAACTGCTAGAATAACATAAAAGGGCTAATATTTCAGCAGAAGATTGTCAGAGAATTGGATTACAGTACAACAATGGAAAACACAAAATATTGAGTAAAGTCTGCAAATTATAGGACTCCAATTGGCTCATCTAGATCAAAATACATAAAAAAAATGTGATTAGACATTTTTTGTTTATCTTTCTGTAAAAACTAGCAATTACAGATTTTAAAAAATATGCATGTCTGTAAGTATGTTAATAAATATTTACACTACTCAACCAATGAACTGCATTTTTAAGCACACCTTGAAGTTGTATTGTAAATTTTCAGGCATTGAACAAAGAATAAAAATACACTATTTTGGGAGAATTTTCATTTGGTAAATTAAAAATAAATGTAGACACAATTAACAGGTATCATTATTGTAACAGATATCAAATAAGAAAATTTAAACGACTATGTTTTTAAAACTAACTTTATTGTGTGATATATTCTGAGTTTCTGACTTGCTATCGTAATCTGCAATTTTATATGTCTCTCTCTGGAAAACACTTTGAAGCAAGTGGCTAGGATTAGTAGGATTACATTAGCTAATGCAAATATCAGAGTCGTCTGATAGGGGAGAAGAAAGCAATGTTCTTGGGAACAACACATGAAGTACTGAAATGTAATCACTAATCAGCAAAATGTAATTGCGATATGTAACAGACAGAGATAGTGAAATAGAACAATTTTACAATTTCTATTCCTTGCAAGTACCAAGTTCACTATATTAAGACTGAGGTATTGCTTATTATTGTCACTTGTTTGGAGCCTTAGACTTCAGGAGTATTCCTGAAGTCTAATCTTAGTATGGTTTGTTAAATGATTGAGTAGTTCAAATAAGCAGAATGTATATTATAGTATAATTACTCACTGGCATTTGTGTTAGATCACCTCTTACCACTCTTTTGGTCTCAGTTTGTATACAACCCGAGGAAACACATCTAGCCAGAATGTGAAATGTTCCACATCTTGGTAATCATTCTATAAGCAGTCTCTTGACTTCCATTCTAAACAAATATAATAGTAAATCTAAAGAACCGAATACTTACATATACTGTAGGTGTGAAGGTAAATACTGTTCATATTTCCAATAATGACAGGTATAAAAAAATTAGAAAATAGAATAGAAAAAAAAATAGAAAATAGAAATAACATTACTTCACACATACACATAAACATATTATTTTAATTATTTCATAGCAGAATGTTTTGCTGCTCTGTTAGTTTTAAATTTATGACACAGGATGTTGCCAATACACAGAACATTTTTAATGTTGTATAATATATCTGTACTTCAATGCATGTATAAAAATGATGTTACAAAAGCATACATTTTTTTCTGAAATCAATTACCCCAGTTTGTCTTTGCTCGAATTCATTTCACTGGATACACTAAAACAGTGGCAAAAAAATTCACACCAAATCCCAATTGAAAAGCATGGGAATGTCTTCTGAAAATAGTTTAAAAATAAAAAAAAATCCTCTGGGATATGTGGTACTTCATGTTGAGTTCAGTCCTGTTCATGTAAATTTCTGTGGCAGTGGATCAATCACGACATTAACATGCAATTGCATGATTAGGGTTACATGTTTAAAAAAGCCCTCCAGCTGACTGAGGACTAACATATATATTCAGATGTTATTCCAATGAAATTCAGTGGAATTCATGATAAAATTCTGTCAAATTATATTTATATTATTATATTTATCGGTTGTCTCAGGTTCTTTGAATTTGTTAAAATGACCTTTCACAATGTAAGAAAACATTTATAGATGTAGGATTTTCCTCTTGCAGAACTTTTATTTATCACTTAATCAGCTCTGTTCTAATGAAAATGTAAGTCATCAGCACTACTCTATCACAGAGCAAATAACACTGTTTGCTTTGTGAAGGGCCTTAAAGGAGATTCGGTTCTGGTTCTTTGTGTCACATCTCCTTTCCCGCATCTCGAGAACAGACCCCAGGAGGACAACAGAACCCCACTGGTAAGTACACGCAGGGAGCTGAGAGGAATAAAAACACAAGTGGTCGGCGTGGAGAGTTTTCCACTGTGGCAGGTTGCTTTGATCAGCTTCAGTTTCTCAAGATGGCATTGTCAATCAAAATCTCCTTCAGCACCAGACCGTCAATGGCAGGAGAATCTATAAGACATGCATGAATAATACACTATTGTTTCAGATAATGCTGGTTCTCTTTATTGGTCTAAGCAAAAGACTTGTTTTTAAGAAGAGTATATTTATTCTACAAATAAATTGTAAAGAACTTGATATTTTACATATATGCAGTGAGTGGGGGGATTACTTTATGGAATGACTGAACTAAAACGTGTATGAATCAGTAGTTTGAGACACTGTATGAAAAATGAGATGCTACAATTACAATTGTTTCCTTTTCCGCAAAGTGAAACGTTCCTGCCTGCCTTTTTCGTTTTCCCGAGCATCGTCTTTTCTTTCTCGTAGTTCCCGGCGTGGAGACATGGACACGATGTCGTGCGACAAGGTCGCCGCGTTCCTGTGGAGCCTCTCCCGCAGGAAGCCCCTGGCCCCCGAAGGCGAGGCGTCCAACCTCCGGCGCTGCCTGACCACCATCGACCTGGTGGCGCTGGGGGTGGGCAGCACCCTGGGGGCAGGGGTGTACGTTTTATCTGGGGAGGTGGCCAGGGGCGTGTCCGGGCCCAGCATCATCATCTCCTTCTTCATCGCCGCGCTGGCCTCTGTCTTCGCGGGCCTGTGCTACGCGGAGTTCGGCTCCAGGGTCCCCAAGACGGGATCCGCTTATTTGTACAGCTATGTGACAGTGGGCGAAGTGTGGGCTTTCATCACGGGATGGAATTTATTGCTCTCCTATGTGATAGGCAAGAAGGCGATTGTTTTGAGTTTCTCAAAGAATGCACAAACACCATGATGGAAGACATTTCTTGACAAATTGCCAGTTCATTTAATCCCTCGAATAGAGTACAACGTCTCAACCTTTAAGGCTCAGATAATCGCATAACTACATTAGCATCACTCGGAAGTGTCACGAAAAGAGCATATGGAATGTATTTTCTAATTAACTGACACAGATGTGTAACTCATTTTCTGGAGGGCCTAGTGACTTTTGGTCTAATTAGCTAACTTTATAAGTGTCAAATTTCTGAAGTGTTTTGTAGCTAAGTGTACCTTTAATTTGGTGAATGCTTTGAGTAGCTGATATTAAAAGACCTCAAGAAATATATACGTATGTCTTAGACAATAATTGGACAAAAATCATTTAATTGAAAATCAGAAGACTCTAGGCCTTACAGGAAATGTATCTGTGATCCCTGCAAAACTTAAAAAAACATTAATTTCAAAAGAAAATATTTTTCTCTTCTCTTAAATCTTCAAATTAGGGAAGTCTTTCATAGAAGTATTAGGTGTCTTCAGGTAGAAACCTAGAAGGAAGTACTATTGAGGGAGATTCAGGTGGTAATGGGACTGGGAACTTTTATCTTTGGATTGTATTTTAAGGGAAAATAAAAAACGATTACCAGAAAAATCCATGAAAGAAATCTATGAAGAAGGTTTTGTTGCATGATACCTGGAAAGATTTAGGTTTTACCATTTGGTGTCTGACAGAACAGGTTTTTTTTTTTTTTTTTTTGGAACAGGTACCTCGAGCGTGGCCCGAGCCTGGAGTGGCACGTTCGATGACTTGATTGGCAATGTCATTGCTAATTTCTTTTACAAGTATGCAGCCATGGACCTGCCAGGCCTGGCCTCCTACCCAGACTTCTTTGCAGCCGGTCTCATCATGCTGCTGGCAGGTGAGTGACTTTTGGGAATTTTTGTTGGCCTTTTATTGTTTGTTACCCACTTTTTTCCTTTGCGTGTTAATGCAAGATCTCACCTTTTTTTTTCTGTGCCAAAAGGTCTCCTTGCATTTGGAGTGAAAGAGTCAACAACTGTTAATAAGATCTTCACGGGCATTAACATTTTAGTGCTACTGTTTGTAATCATTACTGGGTGCATTAAAGGACGTCTTAAGAACTGGTACATCAGTGAAGCAACTATTCTGAATGAGACTCTGCAGGCTGAGTACGTCTTTAACTGTTGTTTTTCTAGGTTATTTAAAGGGAATAGATTTTTAAAGCTAACTTAGTATAGCATGAATACTTAGGTGATAGAACATGTGACTCTGTCTTTAATACTCATGATCGTCATTGCTTTGGCTGGATATTAACTGTTATAAAGTTTTGCAGTGTAATTAGGTGAAAGGTTGGCTAGTGAGCTCAAATGTACAATAATCGGAGGACCTTTCTGAATGTCACCTGTTGTATCGTGTCTTTCTCTGTGTGTTTCTCAGAAACCTGTCTTCAGCTGTCAATGTGACCAGTGAGTTTGGGGTTGGGGGATTTTTCCCTTATGGTTTTCAAGGAACACTAGCAGGTGCTGCTACTTGTTTCTATGCTTTTGTTGGATTTGACTGCATTGCAACTACAGGTAAGAAGCCACAGAAAAACACATGAAGAGATTTAAAGCGAGCACCTGTTTATTAAAGAATATTCATTTTCAGAGACAGGGTATGCAGTTGTCAACTACAGTTAATACAGTTAACTGAAAGAAAACACAGTAATTTGCTGTTGACAATTATGAAAAGGCACATTTTAAAGGTTTCTCTTTATTTTCCGAGATTTAACAACATTTCTGAATTATTTGCGGTTCCCAGAGATGTATCCATGCATAAATCACATGCCAATACGAACTGCAATCCCTACGTTGAATGCTATGAATTTAAATTTCAAAGCCACTTTCAAAATAATGCAAAACTTCAAACTTTAAATGTGGGGGAAGGTTCAACTTTGAGTAAAAGCTTAAAGGATGAAAACAAAGCTGGACATAGACACTGCAAGCTAGCTTATGTAACCTACTGCCTCATTATCTTGAAATGTACCAAAACCATATTTCTTAGCATGTGCTTTTAAGACTGTCAGCTAATGAAGTGTGTGCTCCCGGATTGACTGTGCATTGCTCCTCCAGGAGAAGAAGTGAAGAATCCCCAAAAGTCTATTCCTCTGGGAATTGTCTCCTCCCTGTTGATCTGCTTCCTGGCCTATTTTGGTGTCTCTGCTGCACTGACACTCATGATGCCTTACTATCTTCTCAACATCCACAGCCCTTTGCCTGTGGCCTTCATGTATGTGGGCTGGAGTGCTGCCAAATATGTAGTGGCTGTGGGCTCCCTTTGCGCCCTTTCCACCAGGTATGGATTCCAGGATGAGGAAGTGATAATGAGTTTAAGGTGTTTCACTCGGTGCGAGTGAAACGTCCTCTGCATCTGCTTACCTATGAAGTGGTGTGATGCTGCAGTGTTACTCTTATAGAGTGCCAAGGGTTACTTTTAGAGCTTTAGCCCTGGAGGTGGAGACACTTTCAAATGGACATCTTGGCTCCTTAACACCTGCATGAGTTAACAAACTGAATCCCAGTGCACTGGCTCTTTCGTAGATCACTATTAAGAACTGGTACTCTGGATGTAAGTCATATTTGGGGATTGTTGTCCAAGCCTTAAGAGACATTATGATGCACAGCATGATTTGTGACAATAGCCTGTATTTTGTTTTTTTCTCATAGTATCTCTGCTTTCCGATTATTCTTAGTAGTGACTCCCAAGGAATTATCTGCTAAAGAGTTACAATCACACGGAGGTGTCCCCTGACACAGACTAACTCTCGGCACTGTCCTTTCCCCTGCAGTCTTCTGGGCTCCATGTTTCCCATGCCCAGGGTCATTTTTGCAATGGCAAGGGATGGACTACTTTTCCGAGTCCTGAGCAGAGTTAGCTCACGCCAGAGCCCCGTTGTGGCTACACTCTCTTCTGGAACTGTAGCAGGTAAGGAACATCTAAGGAGCTATTTTCACCTCACTGGCTTTAAATGTGCAAATAACATCCTTTAAAAGGAGGATTATGTGGGTATCTGATACACATATTTTAAAAACTCCTCAAAAGCATTGACAGCCCAGTGGGCTCCTTCAGAATGAACGCAGAAACATCAACCAGAGTACGCATGTGGAATCTCTGTAGAAGTACATTTAAAACCTACATCAGGTTGGTAGTTCTTTACCGACAGGGTTATGTAACGAGCTGCCCAACCAAGAAATGACAGGATGAGATCCAAGGCTCAATTAGCTACTAATTACCAAAGAGGCTAGAAGGTCTGAAAAGCCTCTTCTCATTTGTAATCTTACTTTTCTTCTTATAAAAAAATACCAGGAAATTCAAACTGAAAGGTCCCTGTTGTCCAGACTGGGCAAACTGTCCAGTTCACAGTTTAGTATAACATTGGATGGAACTCTACAGACCTGCTGCACCAGTGGTGCTCTACCTTTTCATGTTGCTGATAACAAAAAAATGTTTAAATTTTTTTCTCTAAAAAAATCAAATGATGAGGTTTTCATTTTCTGTAAAAAGTAAATGTGCATACAATGAACTTTCCAGCTATCATGGCCCTCTTATTTGACCTGAAGGCGCTGGTAGACATGATGTCCATTGGAACTCTATTTGCTTATACCCTCGTGGCTATCTGCATCCTTATACTTCGGTAAGCATTTTAGCTATGCCTTATTGTAGGGAGCAAAGTGCCTGTGATGTCTTATCTTTAAAGATAACAATAAAATAAATATATGCTCTACAATTATAAGACAAAACTATATTCAGGTAGGTACCAGTAAATGATTACCCAACCTAAGTAAGGAAGCTCGGAAGGTCTGAACACATTTCACACTCAACTATGGTGACGAGGGAATCTCAGCCTCCTTTAAATAACCCAGCCCAAACCTTCTAATCACTCAGCGGGATACCCTTATATACACCATAAGCCTTAACTAAACCCCAGGTGTGAATGTGTGTTACAATTAACCAGTTACAAAAACATCAATTAACCTGTGATTACTGCAGGTGAACTGTGTTATAAAGCTCTGAGGCCTCTAGTCACAGGCCAACTGTAAATTGCGTTTTTAATGGCTAGAACTGTGATATGCTCTATATACACATATTGCATTCGATATATCTAGTTGATGAAATGTCTTGAGGTTTATGATATAGCTTCATTCTACATCTAAAGGAGAGTTTACTACGTATAGAATGAATACAGTCCTTGAAATGTATTATTCAATCATTTAATAAAGCCTTAACACCTTAATAAAAGAAGTGGAAACAACCTATTAGAAGAGAGATTATAAAATAAATGACATTTATTTTGTTTTGAATCAATATTTGCATTACCGCTATAACAAGGACCCTGCTTTTTTAGGTACCAACCAGATTCTTGTGAAGATGATTCCAGTGACCTCCATAAACCACAGGGAGGTTCTAAGTTTGCTTTCTTATGTCCTCCTTCATATGCAACATCACGGACCTCGAACACCGTATCAGCTTGCACAACATTTATAGGCAAGTAAAAACATTTTTCTCACCTTAGAACAAGGTTAACCAACCTGTAGTTTTAGTTTTTGCAGCCTACGTCATGGGAGAATGTGGCTACAGCCAGTAAATCAAAATGATCATTACTGAAATGATGATTCACAAGGCATAACGACAACAGCCAGTAAGAAACTGCTTTTAGAAATGTTTCTGTAATTGGAGGAAGTTAGGACCTCTATGCAGAGTGAGGATTTAACCAACAGATTGCTGCAAAGGTGGAGATAGGGAAGAGGAGGGATACAAAACACAAATCCATGTAAGAGAGTGAGGCATGCTCTGGTTATGGTAGATTTTAAGGAAGTAATATCGTGGATAAATATGAGTTAAGGTATCAAGAGCTTCCAGGAAGAACTTGGATGCTGTTATCCATCCTGAACGTTAACTAAAAAGTCAATTTAGAGGACACATAAAGCAATCATTACACAGGATTTGATACTTTAAACTTAAAAGCAAAATGAATAAAATCTTCTGTTGAGTAAAAATTCTGAGTAAATGAGGCAGCAGTGTGGGGCTGTGGTTAGGGATTAGGAATCCTAAGCAGAGAGTTACAGATCACAGGTAGGTAGACAGTTATACCCTTAAGTAATGTATAGTACCCTGAATGATTCGACAAACCCACCTGTGTAAATTGATATCAACATTTTGCATCTAATAAAATGCATATTTAAGCGTTTCTGTGGATAAAAGTGTAACACAGATAAATTAACGTTAAAAAATGTTTATCACAAAAACAGACTCACGTGTGGCAACAGTGCTGGTTTAAAACCTTAAAAGGAATGACAAAAGTTAGCAGTGCTAACTTTATCCAATTTTATAACTGAGAATTCTGCGCTGTGCTTGCTTTCCAGTTCTCATGGTGATTCTACTGAGCGTGATTATGTCAAAAGCAATAAAGCCCTTGCTACTCAAAGAAGTTTGGAGTCTCGTTTGTGTTGCCGTGATTCTTCTGATAATTGCCATTGCTGTCATAATCATTTGGAGACAACCCCAGAGTAAAATCAAAGCCTCTTTCATGGTAAGCAAACCTTGGGCTTGGAAGTAGAAATATCATTCAATCAACTTTATGAAATGAACTGTCATAGTATGTTGGTGTCAGTCAACATTAAAATTCACTCCTCTAAAATAATTTTCATCATGGAAAGGTGAAGTATTTGTGATAAGAATTAAAAAAGCATTTTTGATTTAGATTAACCACATATAAACAACATTGCTAAACATTACTTGAGGTGAATGACACTGAAATAAAGACAGTGCAGAGTTTCTGCATCATATCAGTCTCTTAATCTAAAATGGTTGTTTGTCTGTTGGCATTATAAATACAATCAAACATTGTTGTTTTCATAGTTTAGATTCATGTATCTGTGTGTTACCAGAACGAAGGAAGGTGAATCTCAGGTGGCATCGATAATGACAGTCAAGTGTCACAAACCTACATTGCGAGTTCTTATTGATTCATAAAATGAGATCACGTCAACAGCCCAGGTCTCTGCCATTAACCGATTTCCTCTGCTACCTCCGCAGGTTCCTTTCCTGCCACTGCTTCCAGTCGTTAGTGTGTTTGTGAACATTTACCTCATGGTTCAGCTAGGACCAGCCACTTGGATACGCTATGCTGTCTGGATGGCAGTGGGTAAGAATCATAAAACCCAGCTGGTTGACTATAGCAAAGTCTAACATCGAACTTGTACCAACATGAGTCTGTGCATTTTTGCAGGTTTCATCATCTACTTCTGTTATGGTGTCCGTCACAGTGTGCAGAGGAAACGCCTCCTCAGTGCCAAACAACGAGTTGACATTCACACTATTGATGCCAACTCGGAAGGCCATGGAGTGAAAGGAGAGGGCTCTTGAGTCGAACTGATTGATGGAAAATCGGGACACAAAAACCAGTGATGCAAACGAAGATGCATCTGCAGAATCTTCCCACTTTCAAAGATATTTCTAAAGCCTCCCACAGGAAAAACACTGAATGGCACAGCATGCACAGCTAAAGGAAACTGCAGTATACTGTAAATGAAGCAAAGTGAACATTTGTAACCCATGCTGTGCATTCTGGTATTTCTACTAGCATAAAAAACAGGATTTTACACAGCATCAGGAGGGTTTTGAAGTTCATATTCAGAGAAAACATATAATACAAAAATATAATTCAAGTAGGCAGTAAAAGCAAATAATCAAACAGAGAAACGTATGGAGTGTAAAACATATGAAAGGATAAAGAGTCTAAGGTACACTTTAAAGATAGAAAGCACTTATTTTATATTGTATAATGTTTATGTATGCTAAAAGCTGGAAAGCTCAAACACTAGACATAAGCTTTCTTTTAAACATTTTCTTAAAAAAACATCTAAAATGGATATTTAGACCAAAGAACAATGATGGACAAAGTTAGGAAAGATGAGCTACAATAGCAAGTTGTTTGACTATACTAAATGAAGACAATTACTAAAGAAGTTAAGATTCAGTGGACATACGTTCAGGGCATGTTTTCTTAAAACAACAAATCTCACCAAGTTCTTAATGCTTCACATATTTCACTCAGTGAGGAAAATGTATTGCACTAGATATGTTTTCACTTTATGTTTGAGCCGTGTACACAGAGCAGACACAAAGCACTGGGGAAAAAGGCAGACATTTTAGATATCCGACTCAGTCAAAACTGTTTAACTGATGGTGAACAAAAACATTATTACAGACAAAACATGCATCCTAAATGTATGCATGGATGTAATACATTGTTAAAAAATCTAAAAAAAATATTTCATCACCTGACTAGCAAGCAAATGGCTGTATTTTGGAGGTCTAACTTCTCTAATTTAAAACAGTTCACGCGCTATATTAGCAGGAAATGTATCATCTTAAGTAAACTAATCTCTCAATAAAATGAACTTGGTCTGTTTTTTCCACACTGCAACCCCCACCAGGAAAAGCGGAGTGAAAACGGGTGGATGGATGTTTTGTCCACTGTAGAAAGTCATAGCTGTTTTAAGTCAATATTGCAGGTTTTTTTTTTTCATTCCCCGGTTTTTGAGTAAATTCTGGAAAGGCTGGTTCTACAGACTTCCAAATGCCATAAATGAGGATTCCAGTTTTCATGATTTAAGTAAAGTTTATGGAATGAAGTCACAGAAACTAAAACAACTGTCATTTAGAGGCTGTATCTTTGATCAGTATATACACTGTACATGGTTTTGCTATGAGGTGTTTTAAAAAGTCAGCTTTGTCCACAGCATGCCTGATACAGCCAGACCCTAGTTTGGACTGAATAACTTCATAACTATAAGTTCTGGGGAACAATGTTCCCATTCATGTGTGCTTACCTCCTCTAAATTAATCAGAGCTCAGCCATTTAATCTGAAGGAATTTTGGCCCATAGTACAAGAAATACATCTGTCTGAAGCAGCAATTCAGTCATCTACCAGAGGCTCTATAATTGTACTGTATATTAACATCACTGGGGGGGTCATCACTACAGAGAAATTCCAGGTGGCATAACATGATTTAAGTGCACTATTAAATTAGACTGTTTACACAATCTGATTCTGAACTATAGATAAACTAGGAGGGCTGACTCCTGAGCACAAAAAAGGATATCTGTAGCGTGAGCACAGTACAATGATAAGACTGCTGGCAGCCCATTTGAACACAGTTAAAATAAGCACACAAAGTAAAGCAAAGGTTATTCCATATGCTTCAGAAATAATCTTTAAACTTCTGATTTACCATCACATTTGAAGAATACAGGTCTTGGTGTTTATTTCAAAGGAGAATGTTCAAAGGGACATACTGTACCATGGGTACTGTATTCAGCAAGCGTAGTGTGCAAGTATAAGTGAAGATGTGTGGCACTACAACAGTGACAATGAATTTTCCACACTATGTACTGCTGAACTAAATGTGAGATACAAGAGAAATGTCCACAAAATATTCTTTTTGGTCTATGGGGCATTAGAATTCATAACCTTATAGGAGGGAAATCAATAATGAATGAATTTAGTACATTTCCAATTAAATCAAAACATACCTTTGTCGTCTGAAATAATGTTGTAAGCCAAGGATAACTGAACTGACATAGCAGAAAGCAGGAATTTATCCTTGGAAAAAATGTTTAAAGAACTTCCTATATTAGAGACAATATGCATACTATGTTTCCAGGCTAGGTAGGCTCCTCTCTGTGCTTCTGATGTTGGGCAGGCTTGCCTTGCTTTCGATTGGCAGACTGGGCTTTGAATGGACTCTTTCAAGGCAGCCAGAGGAATGTGGGGTTAGTGTCACTCTCCTGTGAAAAGGAATTTGGTTTGAACTGGAAAACAGCTGAGCATTTGAGCTCTGTGCCTCCCCCCCACACTTTCTTGCTCTGCTGGGTCTCCTGACGGGCTGCTGTGAACTTTTTAATCTTTCACAGTAGCATTCGGCTCAAGCGCCAAAGAGAAATCGGCTTTTGAAGGCAAATAGAAGTGGTGCACGAACTCGGTGTAAATTTGTCAACCATGAAGCAGAGGCTGGTTTTAAGCATATTGGTGGTCACAACTTTGCTGCTGGAGTTTGGTGAGTTCTTCCATGGATACTAAGCTATAATGAAGTTGTCAATTTGTTTTCAAAAGATGCCTTTCAAAGATAATATCCTATCTTTGAATGCTTGTAGGGTACTTCTGTGTGTTAGGTGCATAGGTGGATCTAATGTACACATGGAAATTATGGTTGCATTGGTTGTGCTTAATTCAGGTTCCAATTGGATCCTATAATTTAAAGTCTAAATATAGAACTCATAATTTAATTCTACATTCCCTTCGATGGATGTGATAATTTTGCTGTGCTTGCAAAACCTGTGTGAACCATGTTTGGTTAATGTTGAAGACTGTTTTTCAAAACCTCATCACGTTTGCTTTTTCAGGTTTGCTTTTTGTTAACGGTTTCTGAACAAAAGTAGTAACAATCTCTTAACTCAAGTCTTCATTTGTAAACCCATCCAGGTAATGTCTGTTGTCTCCTAGCCAATACGACAACACAGTATTTACAAGGTTAGACGGTACTGTTTAAGGGTTGTGCCTGTGTCCCTCTGCAGTTAACAGCCAAAAAAATGAAGACAAGGATCCCAGGCTCACAACAGAGAAAAGGCCAAGGCAGAAAATCAAACCTGGAAAGGTTGTGGCAAAGAAGGCCAAAGCTGTCAAGCCAAAACTGAAGATTACACCCACGGTGAAAGTGACTCCGCCCCCAACAGCGCCCCCTGCTGCTCAGTCAGCCCTAACGCAGGTGCTAGAAAAGGGGAAGTTTCAGAAGGTAGGAGACACACTGACTGTGCAGGCAGGACACAACCTGGAGCTGAGGTGCAAAGGCAAGCCTGTCCAGTGGGCTGTCCCCTACTACCTGGAAGAGGAGGACGAAGGCAGGCTCAGGTAACCCACAAGCAAGCTGAGGTCCAGTTGACTCTCCAGACAGATAGGGGATGAATATTTTACCGGCACTTCTTTAAGTGCACAAGCATTTTCTTTACATACCTTACTTTGCATTTAAAAAACTGATTTTTCTTCAGTCTCAGTGATTCCTCTTACTGGCAAGGACAAGCTGCAATGGGGCACAGCATGCTTTACATCTGATTTCCATAATACAGGAAGTACAACCTTCCTTAGATACCATGGTAAATCAATGGAGATAAGCATAAAACACGTACAAGCTCATTGCAATTCCCTACGGTTTGTCTACTCATGGATGAAAATTAGCAACTAGCATGGCAGTGTAGTCTTAGCCGTATCCTGACCTACAAAGACAAAATATGTGAATGAAAATATTAGGGTGCCTGATTCTAAATTGCAGATGCTCAGGTTAGTGGTGCTACTCTGACAAATCTGTCTTTCCGGTCAGGATCGTTCAGCATGAAAGATACGGCACCCTGATTTTAGCCAATTCCACGGGCGCTGACACAGGAGAGTACACCTGTTACCCCATGTACTGTGAGGAGACAGACTGCAGAAGGGAGTATGACAGAGCTGCCAAAGTCTTCGTCTTTTTCCCAGGTAAATGCTCTGTACTCACTGTTGTTCTTTTTTATTACTATTGGATGAGCAGTACACTGGCATGATAATTAAAGCTACTTCCTCACAGTTCAAGGGTCTTGGGTTCTATTCTGAACGTGGGCTCTTGTGGTGTCTGCTGGCTGAGTTTGATTGGGTTTCTCTCCAGCGTCCCTTTCTCTGTGGTCCCGGTAGCCCATCCAGGGGACGAGCACTCATACAGTAGAAACCTTGTGCCATACTGTATACTTCCAGGGTAGGCTCCAGCACGCTGCGGCCCTCACAATGCATGTCTGAGCACATCTAACAAATGCCCATACTGCTGAATGGCTTTCAGTATTTCTCCTAAATGTCAGAGCTAGCTACATTGTGACTGATATATTTTTTACGTGTGAGTAGCAGTGCTATACATACAGTATGTTCAGTATTTATTAGCTGGATGATAGCATGGAACTTTTCACCGATTAGCAACCAAAATGTTCTTATCCTTTTGCAGCTCTTTCCCTGTGTGATCCCTTCTCTTTAATGCTATTTGATTCTGTTTGTTCAGTACGCAAAATTAGATAGGCCTAAAAGAGGGGCTGGTTTGCTGAAAATGAGGGGTGCACTTGTTTTGGGATCACTGTATCTTAAAGCAAGTACAAATTTGGCAATGTTGTTTTTCTAGGTGCAGAACTTCCGAGTTCACCGTCCCGTGCTACAGCACGACCTGCAATGTAACACTGACATCTGGTGGGCAAATACAACACAAGCTGTGGGCTCTCAAATTCATTTTAATTCATATTTAAATCTCCAATGTAAGCCAGTCCAAGACTGCACAACAACATCAGGGTGCTGGATAAAATATAGAAGGCTTGATTTCCGCACTGAGATAATTCGGTGAAGTGAAGTATGAACATAGGCAACAGATCTCAGGAACTAGCACTGCAAGACAAAGCTTTAAAAATAATTCCATGGCATCAGTGTTGGCGGCCAACCTCGCTTTTCTCCCAGATCCCCAGGAGCTGTTTGTGCCCTCGGCGGACTACTACGAAGTCCTACAGCTGCGCTCCAACCGGCCAACCACCCTGGCCTGTCAGGTGACGTCCCCGCTGGCCACGGTCACGCTGCACCGGGAGTTTCCCCCCGAGGAGCTGAAGGTGGACGGGGTCGAGATCTCCTTCGACGTGAAGAAGGGCTTCACCATCCACCGGCCCAAACCCCACCACGCCGGCTCCCTTTTCTGCCTGGCCAGCTACCGTGGGCTTCGCCAGACGTCCATCAAGTACATGCTCATTTACGTCAACTGTAAGTGCGGGTCTTTTTCGTGACGCATATCCCTCTGTTCCTGGGCACGTTTTGTAGGAACGTGAAACTAAAAACATATTAGAACATATTGCATATTACAAAAACAATATAATACATATTAGAAAAAAAAACCCAATTGGTTCGGGGAGGTAGCATGATGCTGTTGTAGTGCTGTTGTATTTAAACCGACTTACAGTTTACATTTACAATCCTCAGTTTCTCTTTCTTTTCTGCGTATATTGTAGTTAACACACAGTTGGTTTGGCCGGACCAGTCTGGGTAATATGCTTTACTCAAGGGTACAACAGCACGGTCCCCACCCAGATCTGAGCCCACAGTTTTGTATGACTGCTCAAGAAATTAAAAGCCAGCAGCCATATCACCTTGCAACTCACAACTGGCAACTCTCTGAAGCTCAGCAGGTGTGAGGCTGGTCAGCACCTGGATGAGAGACCTCCTGGAAAAGCTAAGGTTACTGCTGGAAAAAGTGTCTGTGGGGCCAGCAGGGGGTGCTCATCCTGCGGTCTAAGTGAAGGCCTAATGCCCCAGTATAGTGACGGGGACATCATAATGTTAACAGGTGTCGTCCTTTGGCTGAGATGTAAAACCGAGGGCCTGATTCTCTGTGAAAAATCCCAAGGTGTTTCTCGAAAAGAGTAGGGGTTTTACCCTAGCGTCCTGGTCAAATTTCCCATTGGCCTTTACCAGTCATGGCCTCCTAATTATCTATAAACTGGCTTCATCACTCTGCTCTCCCCCCACTGATAGCTGATGTGTGGTGAGTGCTGTCACATCATCCAGGTGGGGCTGCACACTGGTGGTGATGGAGGGGATCCACATTACCTGTAAAGCAGTTTGAGTGGGGTGTCCATAAACATCTTATATACTGTAAGTGTAAGGAACTATTATTATTAAAAGGTCACAGTAAACTGAGGCGTGATGGAGCTGATCGAAAATTGCTACTTAGTCGTTTCCAAAAATAACATTTTCTGTTCGTACAGTTACAATGCTTTGACATGACAGTTCACATACCGCACATCACAAAACAAAATCAAGATACAGATAATATTTTCCTAAATTAAGAAAAGCTACATACAATCTGGATGTTCAGAATTATTTTACCTGTGCTAGTTCCCACGCCATAGCAGAAATTAACTTTTATTAGACATTGCCTCAGGTTACTTAGCTGATTTATGTGTTGGACTGTGAAATTCAATTACCCAGCTACACAGAAAGCCCTGTGTTTAAGGATTACAGCTCGTAAGGCCGGCAGCTTACAGGCCCCAAATGCAATGAAAACAGGAAGTAAAGTGTGGCCTGTTTCTTGTTAGACCCTGTCTCCGCCCCCTCTCCTGTGATTCATGCCTCGTCTACTTCGGTCCACGTTGGGGAGAATCTGCAGGTGACCTGCTCCGTGCTTGGAGAGGCAGACATTGCCATCGATTTCACTTGGGAATACCCTGGACAAAAGGTACTGTACACTGCCAATAGCCTTTTCATCATGGGACAGTTGCCTAAAATGTCACCTTTGCGAAAGGAAAAATGTCATTGTGGGCATGGCTGATACAGTGTCACTCCCACCAGCACCTGTCCATTATATATTGCTCCACTACTAAGAGCTGTTTAGTCAGAAATTAGTCAACAGCAAGCAAGTTGAGGGGAGGCTGCATGAACATCTGTGTGCTGAGGTTGCTAGACACAGTAACCTTGAAGTAGGGTACTTTTTGACACTCGGTACCAACCAAAGAAATAGCTTGTGGTCAAGCAAGACCATATTACTCTAGGATCAGGGCTGGGAACTGCTGTCCTAGGACATACTGTAGGTGAAAGGAGACCCAATTACATCACGTATAATTTCCATAATGACTCAAGAATGGTAATCAGTGGCAGAACATGATTGCAGGGCCCACGTGCAAATACTTAGACCGCACTAGCTGCACTGTCTATAGCTCTAATAGGAAAACAACCCACAAGACTGAATCATTCACTGTCATGTGGGTGACCTCAGCAATGATTAGGGCCATGTTCTCACTGACTCAGCTGATCCGCCAAAATCATATGAAGTGCCAGTTGGCACCTCTGACGCACAACTTCCTTTGTTGAACTGCTCAGATTGGCAGGCCGCTGTACACTCAGGACGCCACGCACACGGCGCGCTCAGGAGGACAGGCCCGACAGCGCTCCGAGACCGTTCTCTTGGTGGACGAGGTGAGAGCAGTGGACCAGGGAACCTACAGCTGCACCGCGCAGAACCTGGAAGGGTCCACTACAGTCTCCACAAGCGTGACTGTGCTGCCTGCTCGCACTGCCAGATCCAGACACCGCTGAACTCAACGTTCCCGGCCTGGATACGAAGCAGAGACAGCTCTGGTCAAACAGCTGTGGCTGTTTACTTAAATGTGATATATATAAATGCTGTAGTACCAGTACTCTGCACTGCCATGAGGGCTTATGGATGGCAGGTAGTATTGCAGAAAAACTTTCAGAGTAGAAAACGGAGATGGATATAGTGATCTTTAATGGCAGCTGCTGCACTGACAATGACAATGTTGCGTTTGGAAATAAACTAAACAAATAGCTTTCTTAGTTTATTCAGCAGGTTCACTGTGTATAGTTTCAATATACTGTATGATGAACGTGTTTTATTTCTAAACAATGGTGAGGAAATTAGATTTGACCTGCATAGTATCATTGATTGGACAGTTTTGGATTTTTAGCCCAGTCCAGCATATTTGATGAAAATAATTTGAATAATATTTACTGTTAAATTACAGTGTACTTCAGGAAAACATCAAAAAAAAGTTATTTTTACAATATTTTAGACTTTTTATATATGTAAACCAAAACATGCTATATTTTTTTTTTTATGAAGGGGGACACAGCACCAAAAATTCTGTACATAATTCAGCCTAATATAGAACGTTCTTTCACGTGGTTTGTATATGAATAAAAATCAAAGTATGGTCTAAGTAATTTATGCTGTAAATATTTTAAAACAATTCAAAACATGAATCTGATGGCTACCAGTATAAAATGTTATTCTAAAGCATTTTTATCAAGTTCTCAAATTTTACCTTCTCTGATCTTTTACAGAAAAAGTAAGCACTAGAAATAAACAGAATAGCTACATTCATGCATGGAACAGTTTAATCTTGTATCTCACCTTTTTTTCTATTTCAAACATGCAACAAAGTTAATAGGCCCATATAAAGTCAAAACATTGACCCAACTGCCAAGTCACAAGTTCCAAACCCAGTAATTAATTGTGTCTTTGTGTTTGCCAGAGGTTTGTCAGAGCTTTATTTCATGTGCAATTTCAACATGAATTTGGCACTTGGATAGCAGGCTGAAGTTTTGATTTTACCCAGTTCTAAGTTAAGCATTATTAATCTACAAGGAGATACATACTGCCATTGATGTAAGAAGTATTACCAACACTTAAATATTTAATGTATTACTGCTGTGTGTAAACACTACTATTTCTTGACTGCAAGTATGACAACATGGGAAAGTTTTGGGAAAGCCTGTTTGTTGTTTTAGCAACTACCTGATCCTAGCACTTCATCCAGCTTCTTGAAAGGAACTGGGAAAACATTGCAAAAAGGGCATGCTTGGAAAGCTTTCTTCTTTAAATCACACAGCACCCCCAGTGGTACTTAATTGACAGGTAAGCCTTTGTCCAGACGTAAGCTGAAAACCATTACGCTCATACACTTGCGAAATTCTTGACGATGTTTATTTTCCCCTTGACAAGTTGTCAGTTAAAATGAAAAAGAAAACTATGTTTCTATGGCATGAGTTCAACACATCCAGAAGAGTGGTTTAGATAGCACCTGTACTGGGGAAAAAGGCTAACAGTACAGCAACTCGCATAAAATAAAGGTGTGTATTGCTTTACCAGCTATAGTAACAATAGCTAACAGCTGCACACAATTCTATGAATTAACACTGCCAACTACATTTCAGCTATAATACATACAGTCCTGTGATAATAACAGGTTCATTTTCAAAGCTTTTTGCTCTATACCAAAACAATGTCCTCCTCACTTGCTGAAATGGGACATTATAGGCATAAGAAAAATACAGGCACAAGTAGAAGAAATTATTTTTTTTCCCACTTAAACCGTTCTGAAAAAAATAAGAGTGTATCTGAAATGATAAGGACATTGTTTTTAGCAATAGTGAAAAAGCTTTGAAGTGCTCCAGTTACTTGTTTTTATGGCACCACAATCATACATCATACGTCAGCTGTTGCTTCTAAATCGGATAGGATCTATTTAAAACGATACCTAGATATAAGTTAGACATATCTTCTAACACACACTACTCGCACTTTTGCACTTAGCATTTGTGAAATAATTTCAAAACAGTGCTCCACAGAAACGAACCATAGAAAACAAAATGGCAAGAAAAAAAATGCACGTACATTTTAAAAGTGCTTTCTATATACACATTCTCACCCCATTAAAATCAAATAAAAGCAAATAAAAACAGATAAAAACACTGGTTAAAAAGTGCACGTGTGCATCTGAATACCTCGTGCAGTTTCAGATTTCCTAAGGTTTGTTAAAATATGTGTGCTTAGCTCTTTTTTTTTTTTATAACCAAAGATGCCAGTACAGTATTGATTTGTTTTTGTTAGCCATAGTGTTTTGGTCTTTTGTGGGGAAGAAATTTAAATGCTGTGACATTTCTCCCAGGTGTGAATAAAAGTAATGAAGTACACAGAAGGTGTTCAAAAAGCGTATCTGCTGCTTATCAGACTTCTTAGGCTGAAATTAAAGCTTTGAAACCAAAGATCCAGCTACAGATTACATAATTACTGACATTTGTCCCCATCAAGGTACTTACTGTTTACTATGTTGTAACCTTCATATAATCTAATCTTATATAAATGATGAAATGTTACTCCCAAATGAGTCAAAATATTACTTACAGTTGATTTCAAAAGAGGTAACAGTTGACAAAAAGAATAATACTTGAGACAAAAAACAAAAGATAAAAATGTTTTTGAACCTACATTGATTTGTCGAACTATGACAAGCACTAGTGAAAGACAACAGATGCAAAGAAACACATTTATCATAAGAGAAAAATGATCAACACAACTGAGATGGTGACTGTCTGCTGTTACTGTTACCAGCACGATACAAAGTCATATATTAAAACATTCACTTACCTGGAAGTAGTAAATAAGGCTATTGGCTCTTCGATTGGAAATAAAAATAAAATGTGAAGGGAAAGCAGGCATGCTTTCCACTCTTATAGGCACAGTTTGACCATGAGGTAAAAACAAAATTCTGTTGACTAGTAGTATTTTGGGTTATTTTCCTAAAAGAAAAAGCAGCACTAAAAACAATCCTGAAATTCAGCTTTCTAGATGGTGATGTCATCCTATACAGTGCATTTACTGATTTATGTAGATCAAAGATTTCGTAATCAGTTTTTTTCAAGATTTCCTTGTCAAGGAAAGCCCTGTGCATGTTTTGAAGTGAGATGCTGCAAAATGTGTGGCTTCCATCTCAAGGTCCACTAAAAAAAAATAGAGAATCAAACTGAAACACACCTTTCCGTTTTGTGCTGCAATATAGATGATGAAATCCATCAGAGTTCAAAATGGTTTGCAACACGCATCAGAAAGGTTACAGTCAAAAATCAATTCCCAAGCTGTTCTGCTTTTGACTACTCATCGGAAGCTCCTGAAGACATTTGTCACATTATAGCAAGGGCAGACGTTGAGCAGTTTAGGAAGACTGCCAGAAAGTTGTCCACTTGAAACGTTACGGACATGAGGATTTAACGAATGGCTTGAGCCAAAGCCAAGGTGAAAGGACACTTTCAGCATTTTCCCGAGATATTCGGGATCAGGTCGCAGAAAGAGGAGACTTCTCCTCACTCAGCCAGGGCAGTTCCTCTTGAGAAGAGTGATCTCATAACCTCAGTGTGATGTGGTCACCTTGGGGAGAGTTCAGGGGTGAAAGGTGACACATGAAAGGTGGGCGGGGAGTCTCCGTTGACCAGTCTGTAGAGCAGCTCTTCTTTCTCTTGGTTCAGCCTCTGACTCAGAAGGGACTCCTTCTCCAGTGACTCCTGTAGCCTGGCATGCTCGCGAGACAGCTCCCTGAAATGCAATTGAACATAGACCAAAGTTGTGACAAAATTTACAACATTAAAGTAAACACATGAATGATACGTTAAGGTTCATCCCACATTCTTTCCTACCTGTATCTTGTGCTCAACCCATTTCTTATACTTATTTTATTTTTAATAAGTATAAGAAATTAGTCCATGTCAAAGCAGTCCAACGTAGTCCAACCATTAATGAGTACAGTATTATAAAACATACTGTCACTAACTTTCTAATACCTTTCTGATTTCTGCATAACCCACTCTGCATTCTGATCCTGAAAAAGGCTTTCAACTTTTTTTGAGAGAGAACTGCAAATTAAAATTGATCAATTCTTGTTTCCCTCTTTTTTTTGTGCTCCACACAACTCTGTGCTTTCATCTGTTTCATTTTGTTTGATGCTTATTCTCCTGTTGAAGTGCTAACAGTTTTATGGAAAGTAGCTCCTGAAAATCAACTTAACTGCACAAGTTTAGCTATGACATTGATTAGTACCATCTACCGTCCTGGAGCCATGCTTAAAGTCTGCTGCACTCAAGTCTGTGCCAATACTTGATAGAGTTATTCACAACACCCTCTTTTTCAAGCTTGAATTATCATTTCAGAAGCAATTTTACATTCATGGTTTGGCAGAATGGGAAAAAATATCCTAAAGAGAAACAAGAAATGAGATCGAGAAGACACAAATAGGTTTTGAAATGAGGAAGAGCTGAAAACAGTGTTTTCAGAAAAGGGATAGTAAAAACGTCACTCAGATAAAAAAGAGTAGCATACATTTCTTGTTAAAAGCCCAGCATTCACAAATTGCTGTCAATCCTCAGTGTCATGCTTTTCCTGTGAAAAACAAGCTGATAATCCTAATGCAGTACTCTGTCATTCAAAGGATGTTGGATCTACAGTATATTGAATTTTGTTTGTTGACCATACAAGGAAATATGCACTCATTAGGATTAGTCTGAAGTCAGGAAAAAATAAATAGGCAAAAAAAGACATACAAAACATGATTTAGATACAGTACATGCATGTACCAACATGGATGAACAATAACACACACATAGTAAGAAACTATTTCTAAAAAATGTCAGACAAAAGCAATATATTACCTCAACCTTTTAAGTTTCAAAAACATTTTTATAAAGTTTCACTGTATCAACTTGTTTACCTTGTTTTAATGTGTAATTATACATATGTCCTGTGCCGACTCTTCGTGAAACAACACCATAAGTAACCAATCTTTGAATTCTCTGGCAATAAGAGAATAAGAGAATAAAATGATTTTACTGTATTAAGGTCTGATGTTTCTCCATTCTGAGCCTCAGGTCCTCATTCTGCTGAAGCAAGTTCTTCACTCTGTCCTCCAGAGACAGGTTCTTCTCAGCCTGAAAAAAAAATGTAGAACTAGAGTTACCTGAGAGTTCCTGTTTCTAACCTTTAAAATATATATACTGTGCATCTTGCATTGACAACTTCCTCTTTCTTTGCTAGGCACTAGGTGAATGGGGGCTCCTCAGCAGGTGTATGAACAAACATCAGGCTCTTTGTCCAATTTAGAAAAAGTTTAGAAGAAATTAACTTTTCAGTAAAATTAATATTATAAAGTAGATGAAGATAAACTAAAAAAGAATATCCCTTCCTATACAATCTATAGATTAACCACACCTTTAAATTTGGCAAAACTGTGGTGGTGGATAATGAATAATGAATGAAGGTGCATGGAAGAAGAATACAGGATAATATGGATTGTGATTTGAGGAAAGTCAAGCTTGTCCAGCTCTTTTTACTCCAGCTCCTACCAGGGCTTCCATTTGGAGTAGCTTTTTGCTAAAGTTCTGGATGCGTTCGTTTTTCATTTCAATCACAAAAAGCAAGCTGTTCAGTTCCTGCTCCCAGAAAGAACCCGGGCTGCCATGATCCTGAGGAACGACAACAGGGATAAGGTAAGATGCACAATAAGAACAACTCAAAAGTGACCAGAATGCAACTGAATGCTAACTACGATCATGCTCCATCACAGTGGGGGAAAATTTCATAACTGCGAATGTAACAGAAAGCCATTCTACTGCATTACAGAGTGCTCTTTCAGAAAACCAGAAGAAAAAAAAAACAATTATTAACTTAAATTGGGCCATGACAAACCAGGTGACCCCTCCAAAATGCATTACCTTAATATTTCGTTGCAGATCTCTGGTCAGGACTGACTCCTTCACTCTTTGTTTCAACTCATTGAAAACCTGCAGTTCAGCCGTCAGAACATCAACTTTGCCCTGCAAACAGTTCAAGGTGCAAAGAATAAAAATATCTGCCTTCCAATGATGTCCTTCCTCCCTGTGACATCCTATGTGAAGCTGGGAAATTACAAAACCCCATCTCTTGCCCAAAGTTGTCCAGACAGGAAAAACGTGTGAGACTGCTCCCTCTGGTGGTGATGAGATTGAAATACATGGACCCACCCCCTATCCTATGAGCTCTAATTCCAGAAATCAGGAAGTGCAAGAGTGTGGTTAGTTATCCAAATGACACAGAAGCCAACTTGACTGATAATTTCTGGTGTGGTACTATCAAGCAACACAAAGTGATGCATGTCTTTATGAAGATGCCCTTATTTTGGCGATAGAATGTGGTGTACTGTATAGTAGAATCCTGAAAAGTGTAAACTACCTGCAAGGAAGCCTCTGTTTCCTTGAAATTGTCTGTCAAAGTTTTCTTCTCTTGGGAGTGCAATTTCTGCAGCTCTGCAAAATAAAGATCAGGGAAAATCTTAATTCAGTCTTCATTCATTCAGCAGAGAAATGCCCACAGAGTAAATTTCACTGTCATTTTCTTTAGCAGGGTTTAACACAACATATTCTGATGAAAAATAATTGCATGCAGTAAAATTATAAACAATACACATTTCCAAGTAGTGCACTTATTTTCCCATGCCAGTTATCTATCTCCATCATATACTGTATGCATAATTTACCATTGCTTTCTATATTGTATACATAGATTTTATAAATTGAAACTTGCAGATTTTGTTCAGTGTTTAACACAGTTCTGTAGACTATTCTTATGACTAAATCTAAGCAAAGAGAAACTTCTATATTAACAGTGTGCAAGCAAACATATACTCATCATCCAAGTTTCACTTATTGTATGAGATCATTGGTCAACATTCCCTTAGTCTACAGTATGTTAAATAAAAACCAAGACTCTCACCTTCAGTTTTGTTTGTGTGCTTTTCTGTGATGCATTTAATTTTGTCATCAAAACTCGCATTCAATTCCACAGATGTTTCAGTTTTAATCTAAAATGAGAGAGGTTGAGATTTGTGAGCCAATACAGTTGCTCAGATAGGCTGAATGCTCAAAATCTTTTTTGGGTGGAAAATAAGGCAAGAAAATGCCGTAACATTCAGACCCTGCAGCCCAGGCAGGGTCATAGAATAAACAATCAAACAAAGAACAAAATACAAACAATATACATCATCATCAGTGAGCATGTCACTCAGGTAGCTTCACAATTGATTTCTGCTTTCTGCATCAACTAACTGCAATGCTTTCTACTGTGCCTTTCTGAAAATGTAATCCCGTTTTCTTTATACGTAAAAATAAAAATCTTTTATTAATACAGGTCTTTCTTCAGTGACCTGAAGTTCTTTTAAAACAATGTTCCTGGGAAGACATGCCAGGGCAAATGGCTCCAAACAGTAACACTGAGAACCAAAAGGAAGTGTATAAAAAGGCGTTGTTCCTACCTGTTCTGTAATGACAAAGCATGGCTTATTAATTCAGATTCACACGGGTAATTACTTATTACTTTTCATTACTATGCTTGTTTAGATATTTGTACCTGTTGTACTTAAATTATGTGAAACATTAAACTGCCTATTCTTGAAGGCTCACATTAAACAGTTTATAATTGGACGTAGAAGCATAAGCTCATTTTGTTCCAAAGAGCAAGGGAAAAATAAAATAAAAATATGAATAATTAAATAAACTATTCTTTATGATCAAAGTGACCAGTGCAATGTTAAAAATGATAGCACTACTGTCTTTAGTTCATGAATGCAACAGACTCACAACTGGCATCCCACTGAAGCTAAGCAGGTGTGAGCCTGGTCAGTACCTGGATGGAGACCTCCTGGGAAAAACTAAGTGGGGCCAGAAGGGGGTGCTCACCCTTCGGTCTATGTGGTTCCTAATGCCCCAGTATAGTGATGGGGACACTATACTTTAAAAAGGTGTCCTCCTTCAGATGAGACGTAAAACCGAGGTCCTGATTCTCTGTGGTCATTATAAATCCCAGGGTGTTTCTCGAAAAGAGTAACCCAGGTGTCCTGGACAAATTTCCCCCTTGGCCTTTACCAATCATGGCCTCTTAATAATCAGAACCATCACAGATGTTTATTCTGTGGTGTGCTTAGTAACGTTTTTGGCCTTTCCAGCTTAAGAGTAGCCTTTAGCCGATCACATTAACGCTTCCAAGCTTCACTAGCATTAGAAAGGTCAAATTAGTTGAGGGATACCTTTGCAGTGATCTCCTCCACGAGCCTCTCTATTGCCTCCTGGTGGGCCTTCAGCAGTTCCTCTCTCTCTGAGGTCCAAGTGCCCTTAAGTGTCTCCCTGAGACTCTCCAGCTCCCACTCGTGCTGTTCCTTGAGCTTCTCCAGAGCCAAGCCCGCATCCTTCTGCAAGCACTGATCTGGGAGAGACATCACAACTTTGGCGTGAGAAGAGGTCCAACTTCACCATTAGCAACTATGAAAAATCTCACCAGAACGTGCTTCATTCTGCTGAACTACGAGAGGTTTACAGAATACGTGACCAAGACATAGCCAGTGGAGGAAGATCAGCTTACACACCCACAATCAAAGACCACATTTAGCACCGTCTTTGTATGAATGGAAACAAAATATCAAAGCCTGCTTTGATCACTTTTTGGGAAAATAAATTAGAATGATTGAAAAGGCTTGAAACAGTCTTATTCTTAAAGACTCTGAAATCAGACTCCAGGATATTGTAGAACTATTCATTTTTCTGCAAAATTTACTCTGGCCTTTTAATGTTATACTGCAAATAGCAACTATTTCAGTGCTGGGAAATACATTTAAGATATCCTCTATAAGACATAGAATAGATAATACCATGTGTGTGTAATTTTATGAGAAACATACATCTCTTGCTAGTCTTGAAGAAAAAATATATAAAGCAGGAAACCACTTACCACATCCATCCTGAAGGTTATTCAGCTCTTTTGACAATTTCACCTGTTCTTTAGCTGCATTTTTTCTCTAGAAGAAATTTAAGAACAGTGCTTGAGTTAAGATTTGTTGTTTTATTGTTTGCTACAGTTGTTTTCATGTCGAAGACATTTAAGGAGTTTCACATACTGTATGTATCTGACATGAACTCTGTCAAACAGGCAATCCTTAATCTGCTGTGCAAGAGAGACAGAATATAGTTTTTCATCCATACATCCATTTCTTTCTTTTAAGAGTGGGACTATAAGGGTGAGGCAGCTTCAAGCAGTGAAGTCAGACTCTTACGATCAGTGAAATTATGTTGGTTTATTCTCATTGCCCAGTACTGACACACCAAAAAATATTACAATCCTGGACACTGATGGGAACATGACTAATGACACAAATTTCAAGGCACTTAATCCAACTATAATGCTTATCTGCGGATCACCATCCACTCAACAAAAAAACACAGTGCAAACACAATTTTACTTTTCAGTGCCACTCACAGTTAATGACTCACTTGCCCCTAGCTCTTTGCTCTTCTTATGTAAACAATACATTTTTTAATGAGTTAAAATATATTTTGTTTAAAATACTCGCCTAAACTGCAATTAATCATTGCCCTGCTGGCTTTACACAGTGTTTAGAACGGTGGAATACAAAGTATAACATTTCAAAATCCACAGGCTGTCTGGCTTGAATGGTCAAATTTAAAGGAACATACAATTTCCCACTTATAGCTGGAAGATTGGTTCTTCACATGCCCTTGGTCTCAGCATCAATATACCTAAACAAGCTGAGCAGCATGATAGAGTATACTGCTTGTTGGTTTGCTATTCCTAACTAATTGAATATTGTATAATTGTATGACTACAATTTAAGCCTGTAGTAAAAGGCTGGTGCATTTTACTGCTTAGCAGCTATTAATGTGGTCTTTATTTTTTATATTTGTATGACTATTTATGACTTTCATACATGTGAGGCTGCTTGGCTTATTTTCACTAAGAAACCCTAAACATCTTTAATCTTAACTATAGAAAGTAGGCTAGCTGATGTTTATGGATTTTTTTTAACAGAATCTGCATCCTGTTTCTATATGACAGGAAGTGGTGGTCGGTGCACTATTCAAGGTAACAAATCAGCATTCAGCACAAAGTTTCAAACGACAGGAAACAGTGTTGTACACCTACCATATACGGGTTGAACTATAAAAAGCAAATTTGCCTAGAATTTTGCACTGGCACCAAAATGTGAAACGTAAATAAACACTTTGTAACAATTCACACGTGCACAATACTTAGTTGAAAGCAGTTCTTTAAATTAGACTACAATACAGATGCAATACAATACTTACAGAAATCACCCACTTCAAGAGTTTTAACATTCATGAAGCTGTGATCTGCTTCTTCAAACATAATGCAAAATACAAACAAAATTTAAAACAAAGATCTGAAATTCACAGGAAAAATACTGAGTAGCTTTTGGCACTTTGAAATTCTCTCTTTCTGCTTAGTATTAAGCCATGTTTTTAAAGCTTTTGACCGTTTTTCATGTTCGACCCTTAATCATAGAAGGTTCTTAAAGAACTGCATCTATTTTTGACTCTAAGACCATTACAATAAACTTTCATAACACACTGCCAAAATAGGCCAAGAACTATCAGCAGCATCATTAAAATGCCAAACACCCTGTCAGCCTGTGCTCTGAATGTTGCCCTCTGTGGAATTGAGGCTAGAGCACCATTATGACATCGACTGAAGAAGCTGTGCCACACATTAGCAAAGTGTGTCCATGAAGGCTGAAGGTACAGTAGAGGCAGGAAAGGTGTCACCTCTCAAGTACCAGCAGTCCATACACCTTTCAAGAAAGCTATTATTTTTGTTAGAGGAACTTTAGATTTGTTCACCACTTTTAAACAGGCACTATGAGAATACATAGTAAAACAAATACAAATAATAACATACTCATCATTAGCTACCAAGTTTCAAAATGTAACTGCCTTTTACTAGAGACTCAAATCATAGTAATACAATAAGTAATCACAAACTATCAAGCAAAAAATATTAAGTTTAAAAACATTTGCAAAACAGCGATCAGTTGACTGAAACAGTAAGTAACAACACATATGCATATCTATATTCATAAACAGTACCATAAAATGCAATTTTAGACATATATCAAATGTGTTACAAACATTATACTCCTTAAGACATAAAATGACATTTTATTTTTTTACTAAAGGAAAGTATGGTTTAATATATGGAATTTCTTATATAAAAACAATACACTGTATATATTAGGCCTATTTTTCTATGGTTTGGTAAATCAGGTGATTCATAATTAAAAAACTAAATTAAAACAAACTACATGTACAGCACATCTAAACTTCATTAGACATAATTTTCACTTAGAGCTTTCAAAAACAGCTTGCAACGTCTACGAGATTTAGTCATTATAAAAAGAGGATATATTTTGAGAACCAAACCACCTCAAAGACTTCTTTCTGTCTTTTTTTTAAGTATTTTATGTATCAAATGTTGTGAAAAAAAACTGTTAAGAGGAATAAAGCACCTCTGGATAGACTTCAGCTTTAATTAAAACCAGATAATGATCTGACCTCTACATTAAAACCAGCTACGGGAACATTTTTAATGAAATGAGTTTCTAGGGTCTGAAAGGCTTATTAACACGGGCTGCATTCAATTAGTCTGACCAACATCCTGTTAAATGAACACAGTGTACAGCATGCAGCTTCAGACCCCTTGACAGCCAGCAAGGCTGTAATGACCAACAAAAGTTTTCTTCAGACCTGCTGAAGTCCACCCAAAAATATCACTGATCTTAATGATATGGTTAAAAATATCTGTCTCACAGGAATGAGGATGTTATCTGGCAATTTGCCTTTACTGATGTCAGCCTTGTATTTTACATATTGTACTTGCAGTATGCGTACGACATATGTCATATACTGTATGTGAGGTTGCACAGCAAAAAGCAGCTAACGGTGACTTTGGACAAAAAAAAAAACTGATAAATCTAAACAGACAGAAAGTGTATGCAGTTATTCTGACAACTGTTGTTTGTAATTGTGAGCCATACTGTACTTCACACATACCATGTTAAAACTGAAGGTACCAATACCGACATATGCAAACAAATAATTTAATTAACCTGGCAAAAAGGGGGAAATGATTAATATGACACGGCTTTATGAGTGTACTCCTGAGAAACATACATTTCCGAATTTCAGACGATAGTGCAGTAATTCACAAAGTGGTTTCCTTTTTAACCGTTACCTGCTTCCCGGACACTAAAATGGGGGAAAAAGGGTAATTTATTTTTTGTTATAGCACTTGAACCTTTTGTCATACTGAGAGCAGCCTCCTACGTTAGTACTTATATTGACATTAAAAGCTGTTGTTTTTTGTGTGTGAAATGATTGCTTGAGATCAATTCTCTCTTAAATGTATCGAGATAATACTAATAACCGTGGTGATGTGAGAAAGTGAACACTCTTAGAAAATGTCACATCTGTTGCCCATCAAAACGTCATGCAAAGTTTCACAGCCGGCTAATAACGTCTTCTGAAACAATAAATAAAGCTTTCGAGACCTAATTAATGTAAACTAATCCACAAAACTGCACATGGTTAAGAATGATTAAAAACCGAAGACTGTCTTACGCGTTCTGGAGTTTTGTATTAATTCTGGAATCCAGAACACTATTTCATTTCCTGTAGTTCTACTCCTCACTATAGTTCCCAATTTTAAATGTAGATATTTTACAACAAACAAAACACATTTGATCTACCTTTTTCTTCCGAAGTCCTCTACAGCACCCTCGGCTCGTAGCGGCACCCATACCTGCTCGCCGCCTTTCTACTGTTTTGTAGTCAAACTCGCCAGTTTTATTCGGCTACGGCGTTTGTTGACAGAGCACAATTAGCCCACAACTTCTCCACTATCTTTTAAAAACTCGAAGTCGAGACATAGGAGTATAATCTCCTGGCCAGGACTACCATAATCTCTAGAATACGTGCGCCACTACTTTTCTGAGCAATCCTTGCTTGTAAATATATCCTAATAACATTTGCTAACCAGTTCAGAACTTTTTAAAATACTGCATTGCATGTCCAGTGATAATAATCCATTGTGTTTCCTTTTGACAATAATAAATCGGCAATAGACATCCTAGTGGATTTTAACAGAAAGGTTCTCTTCTGCAGCCAACTGATCTTCAGTTTAAATTTTAATTTATGAAAATAATTTAGTTTTATGTTTTACAGGAGATGACAGTTAACAAACATATACATTGTAGCAATAAAAACTCTATTTATATATTTGGTAAGGGTTGTCAAATAATACTATTCAGCATCAACAACTAGCCAGAGCTAGTCAGACCTAGGTAAGATTGGTCTTCTGATCAGTGCTGGCTTAAAATGATCAAGGAAAACCAGACTGCTGCTGAAAAGTGGTGTTGGTAGACCAGTATTTGGCACACGTTGATGCCAGAATTTCCAAACCAGTGCACCAGTGTCATGACCAGGGACATTGTGCTATACAAGGTGCCATTCATTGGAAGAGATACTAAACTGGGAATCCGCCAGCTAATTCAGATCTCATTACAGAAGTAAAAAAAATAAGGATGTTAACTCTGATATCCAGCTAAATTCCACCCTGAGTTTGCACAGCAAACTGGTCTCCCTAACGTTTTGCATGCTGGAATTATGTGATGGGTGAAGGTCTCCTCCTGTGTATAAAATTATTTGGGATAAAATGCACTAAATGCTGGGAATTATTAGAAATTGTTATATTGTGATTTCGTATTTACAAAAAATCATCTCAAACTCAGCTCTTGTTATAATTTCTCTATACTCATAAACACCTGAAACCTATATATTAAAACAATGCACAAAAAAGTTTTTCAAACTACTACTATCACAGCAAAAAAAAAAAAAAAAAAAAAACTAAAACAAGCTTTGTTATCTGTAGGACAGACACACAGAAGAATCTAAAGTCCTTGTCCACCGTTCTGTGGGAACCGATACAGCCTGGTGTATGATGCATGTAAAGTTTTTTTTATGTCTTTCTCTTCTGTGTATTACGGTAGCTTGTCCCCATAGGTACAAGAAAGGGAGAACAGCTCTGTTATTCATGTACAGAAAACTGTTATGGTAACCAAACCTTATTACAACACATGTTTGTCATGAAATATTACCTTTTCAAATCACAGACTTTCCTGGGGATTAGGTTTCATTGCAAAACAAGGTCCTAAATGGCTTGTTAAAGCTGCGCTGTGTGGTGAAAATGTTGATCTTTAGGGTGGAGTACAAATTATAAAGACCCTTATCTCCACCATTATCTCACCACAGCACCCACCTTTCTCTAGAGGGTCTGTAGTGCCTAGACCTACTGCAGGTGTTCATAGAGGATTTGGAATCTGACATGGCAAGATATCTGGAGAACGCACCAAAAAATGATGCTTTTGTTCAGAGTGAACTATTTCAGAATGAGCTATTTGCGTGAACTTCTTTGTACAGCCCGAGCTTGATAAAGTTCCTCACCAGGCACAGGCACTCAGCTGCAGTCGAAATGCTGTGAAGTAAAGAGCCAAATGACCTTCAACAGGGAATGCTGATTGGGAGCCTTAGGGGGTATGGGTGTCAGCAAGTCAGCTGTGGGTAATGTCATTCACAATCACAGAACAAGCCGTCCGGGATAATCTGGAGCACCATCACAACAACATCCCTCTCAGAACCTGCACAAGCTCCACTGGCAGAGCTGGGGCATGCTCCACTGGATAGCTATCAGAATTCTGTGCTGTGTATGAGTGAAGGAATCAGAGCCGTGACGCTGTTGGAGACTGGATCCATAGGCAGAGAACTGGGACTAAATTGCTTGCAGTGCCGTTACTTTAGTTATATAGTGTGGAAAGCTGTATCTCCATTACCTACATTATTCAGATTGCGGTCTGACTTAATTACGATGCAAAAGGAAACACAACATAAATATCAGTGATTTCTAAATTTTTAAGACACAAGGCATAGATAAGGTTTGTTTTATAATAATAATACTAATAAGCTTTATTTTGTATAGTTGCTTTAAAAGTGGCTTCTCAAAGCGCTTTTCAGAATGACAACAACAATAAAAAATCCACAAGATATGCACAATGAGAATACACAGTGAGAGGAGACAGTAGATGGGGGTACTGACTACAGTAGGAGCAGAGGGGTAAAGAACAGAACCAGTTAAGGAAAGGGGAAATGATATCCTTGGGGAAAAGGATGATGTACTGTATGATGATTTTGTAACGGATTACATGGAAAATAAATTACATCCATGTGTCACAGAGCTGGTTTCACAGACAACACATGCAACTTGTAAAAATGAAAAAAAAAAAACACGTACCATTCTTTTCTCCAGTCTCCTAAGTGTTCTTCTCAGCTTATGTGATAAAGTAATAGTAACACAATGCTTCATGTTTTGTTATTATCATCAAAATGGCAATATTATTGTATGTATCTTTTGGTAATTGCAATACTGTTAACTTGTTAACTAAATGCTTGAACCTATCTAGGGCAAAGTGCATCTAAACTGGAGTCCAATTATTCTGGGTATAAATCTCCTCATGGATCTAGTCATAAGAGGTCCCAGGGGAACCTGATCCACTGAGTTTAAACCAGGTCGTTTTTGTAAAAGCCATGCTATTTATAGGCCAATTCTAAGCCCTGATAAAAAAGATAATGACAGTTGTTCCTGGTAGCCAGATACGAACGGAAGAAATTTCCATGGTGCAGCAGCTGCTGAGAGTCTCAGTTACCAAAAATGGCTGAGCTCACCATCCACAGAGCAGCGAGCACTCTTCACAAAGAGGAGAGTCCTGCTCTGTGCTGACAGTCAGCCACTGTGTCCTTACAGCATATGACAAAACACACATCAAACCTGTCTTTTCTTGGCAAAGGGAGACTGGGGGAAAGTGTGGAATCAAAGCTGGCAGAGTCAGAGTCAGTGTATTTTGTATCCTGGCCTTTTCAGCCTCAATAGGATAACATGACAGCATTAATGATGTTTACGGTTTAATAAGAAGTTTAATCCCACACATTTTTTTTTAAAAAATGAAAAACATCTCTTTGGTTTAAAATATCTTGAGAATGTTACTGTGATATCATCACAAGGAGAAACAGAGTGTAAATTATGCATTACATCTAAACAGTTTAACTTTGCATTCAAATAGATATTAGACTTACTGTATGTAAATTCAGTAGACAGGAAAAGAATCACCAATATGATAAACTAACACAACTAGTCCAGAGCATGATTTTGCCATCTTTGCAGGTTGTTCATAGTTTTGTACTGTAAGTTTCATTTTTAATACAATTGACCACAGTTAGTTTTATTAGGACATTTGAGTACAGCCTATAATAAGCTCTACTGGCAGACAAACAATAATGCAATAGATTAGGTGCTACAAGCTACTGGCTAATACAGCTGATATGCGTAAGGTGATTTATGTTCAAAGCATTCTGTAATTTATTACAAATCTTATAAAATGCTAGTGATATATCCTCAGGGATACTGATGGGGAATTGGTTTCTAGCTCTTTTAAGAGAAACTTCAATATGCAGGTGTACACTAAGTATATGTTTTTAAACCTAATTCTCACTTTAAATCAAAATTGTTTAGAAGGCTTTGCAGATGTTTGATGCAGAGTTTTCAAAGTAACCAGAAATCTTTTTAGTGCAGTGATTTTGGCATTTTAACTAATACACAGGATTTGGCAATAGGTAAGAGAGACTGGATGAAATTTTGTAAAGTACAGATGCAGTTGTTTATAGCCAAGGAGTGGGCCTGCTGCCTTCAGCAATAAATGTGCTTAGTGTCACTGAGCACTTGAAAAGGCACCGCTTACCCCCTCCCCAGACTAAGATAAAATTCTTTCCATAGCCTCATGGAGGAGGGGAATGGTTACTGAAGTGGCTTGGAATCCATATTAGAATCATTGCATCAATAAGAGCAGAATTTCAGTGACTAGAGAATGGCATTGTTTTAGTTCTGCTTTCTTAAATTAACACTGTTGCATTTGCTGAAGTCCTTAATGGAGAAAAGCAAAATCAGCTTTTCAGAAAATGTTCAGAGGACCTAATCTGCAGTCATCTTGTTTAGTAAAGCACATGTTTGGACAGTACAGTGGCATGGTGATTTCTGAGCATTGCTACCTCACAGCTCTTGACTCCTGGGTTCGAGTGAGGCCTGGGATACCATCTGCGTAGAGTTTGCATACTCTCCCTGTGGCCAGATGGGGTTTTTCTAGGTGTTCCAGTTTCTTCTCACAGTCTAAATGCAGTATTTGTTGACTAATGTCTTTAAACTGTCCCGTGTGTGTTTGTGTGTGTGTCCTGTGATGCACTAGGGATCTTTCCAAGGTGTGGTCTTCCTTGTGTACAGTGTCTGCCAGTTTAGACTCCAGCTCATAATGAACTTGTATTGAGCTAAGGGGTTATTTACAAATGATTTTTCTTCAATATTCTAATTTTATTTAATTCTCAAAGGTTGTTCTGTTCGTCTGCCCTCACCAACTAATGAATGAAGCAATGCAGAAGATTGTTTTTTTTTATTCCTCGCAAATATTTTCCAACCTTTATTGTAAAACCACGTTCATTGAGATTAAAATCTAGAATGTTACACAAACAGGAGCACCTGGCAAAAAATAACACAATTATGAGAACATGCAATTTCCCCAAACACTTATGCCCAAGGCTACAAGAACCTCTGAATTCTGATGCAGGGACACTAACCACCTTGTCATTACTCAATTAATTCTTTTCTATAACATCATTCTTGGGATTTTGTGCCAGGAATGGGTGCCTAACATATTTTGACAATCCAGTATGTACAGTAAGTGTGTTATGATCTTATATAAAGCTTACTGCAACACAACAAAACAATAACCCCACATACAGTAAATGTTTGCAAGTGACATGTACTATAATTTTCCAGAGTACACTGGAGAGATTGTAAAACAAGAAATTTAAATTCTAGACTGTGCTCTCCTCAGTTTTTTGTGGGTTCCCCTGCTACCTCACAAAGACATGCTGCTAAATGTATATTGATCCGTGTCTTTAAATTACCCCTGTACTATATGCCTGTGTATTTGTAGACCTGTCTACAGTTTTTGTGCCTCTTGCTGGGATTAAGTAGCTTTCTGATAATGTATAACACATTAGTTTGCTCCCACAATTTGCCTGGATCCTTTCGAAAACCTGAATTAAAATGCACGCATTGATTTTTGAATACTGTATTTTCAGGAACTTTTTAATGATTAAATCCTCTTGCCGAGAGATAATGAAAATATGTAAAAGAATCTAATAACACATTGTCTTGCTCAAGCATTTGTCTTTATTCTGCCAGTCAGTATAATATGCAGAGTTTAAAGCCACTTGTTTTGACATTTAACATTGTCAGAGGCAGCAGGACCACAGTTTTGGTTTCAGTAGAATGACAACACATATGAAGCCCGAGTTAGACTTTTTGATGTATAGTCAATGTCTCAAAGGCTTTTTTTCATTTAATAAATTACCTCAGTTGATGTTGCTTGCCAATGACATTGCTTTTATTCATACATTTTAATTTTTTTATACATTGTGTCATTTAAACAGTATGACGCTTCATTGATTAGCTCATAGATTTATTCATGCAGACAGACGGTTTTCCATGTTATTATTAACCCCCCACACACACATGACTATTTTAATTTCATTGAAACTGTAGTCTGAAAACAGACAATCTCCTTCTTCCCACTAATAGCTTTGATTTGGACTTTGTAAGTGCCACCAGCTAGAAAGCTAGGAAGTCTCACTTTTGGGATGTGAAAAGTAGTTGGAGGAACATTCAGCACACCCTGGAAAAAAAAAACAAACAATACATGTAATTCCTTCATTTGCTATATTTGTGCTCCTTGCATCCCTTATATAATCAGGCTGGACTTTTTATTTTTTTTCTTTTTACTAAATGAACACCCAGATTCTCTTGTTGCCTCAAACTGAAATATTTTTTTCTTTTCGACATTAAAAAGACAAACGTGTTCAACTTTTTTAAGCAGTTGGACAAAATGCATTGTTATACATTTACAATTTCACTGAAAATAGTTTTTATACGGTATATCTTTCTAGGTAAGTAAACAGCAGGCGATTATGCTTACTGGTTTGATGGGGCAGCGGCAGGACCCTCCATATGACACAATTCGGGATGGGCAAGAATTTCCTGGAAAGACCTTATTCAGTTTCTCACAAATGTTACGGTAGGTACAACTGCCATACTTAAACAAACAAGGCACTTTCATCCAAAACCAGACGGCCCTTTTCTTCACTTGAACCTCAATCTAGAAAGAACGGAACAAGAAATATAAATCCTTTTAACCTGCTCAACAAGGGGCTTTTGTAAAAATGCTAAAACTTACATTCATCACTTCAAATTGCCTTGGCTTGGTCTTCAATCTTTTATGAAAATATATGGAAATACACCTTTCAGGAAACTTTCTCCTGGCATTAAAATTCTGAGACTGGGGCACTGCCTGTTTGCAAGGGCTATTGTTCAGTTTTGTTGTCCCTTGCAAACAATACAGACCAATATCCTCATTAGTCATGGATAAGATGTGTGTTGAATTTAGGCAGACAATATAGCATACATATGCATATCCATATCCATGAAGTACCTAGTGAAAAACTTATGAAGGTTTAATAAATACTTAGATAAATAGGGCTGGAAATCGAGTAGTACAGCACGTTTAAGTTATTTAATTATCTTCTTTCTTGTAGAAGCTGTTTTTTTGCACAAGAAATATCTCAAGTGCTGCCCCCTTTTGGGGAAAGACACAAAAAGCACAATAGCCTTTCTCTGGAGAAGCGCAAGTGATCCTTCAAATCATTCAGTATTTAGGTAAACCTTGCAAATATATTTAAAAAGCATGTTTTTATTTGAATTACTTTAAACAGTTAACAGACAACTGGATCCAGAATGTAACCACTTTATATAGAATAAATGATTGCTATACGGTGATAAATGCAAAGTCAAAGCAAAGTAGTTTTTTTCTTACTCGGAGAGGAGCTTCTATTGGCACCTTCAGTTCACCCAACAGAGAGACTGTGACGGATCCAGGTACGTAAATGGTATTTGGGAAGTTAAGATTTTTGATGACAAGGTCATTCTTGGGTCCACAATGTGCCCAGTTTGATGAATTTGACTTGTCAATCTGAAATACAGTGGGAAAACAGATGAATAATTAATTTTTAATACAATTTCACAGCACAATAACTCATAAACACTGTTTAAACCTAAGCCAAGGTTAGGTTTGAATCATTCCATATTTAGAAAAGAAAAGATATACGAGATGGGGTGTGCACAAGTAAAAAGAAACACATGAAAACAGAAATAAAAAAGCAGACATAAAGTAATTTCCTTATTCTTTTTGTCTAGGAGATAAAAGTTTGGAATAAGTGCTTTACATTGGAGACTTTATTCCAACAGAGCCCAGACCATAATATAATCAGTGTACCACTATAATGAGAAAACAGGACACTGAGAATTAACCCTTAACTTAAAAAAAAAATTAAACTAAATTAAAAAAAAGAGCAAAAACTGTAATCAGGTTTACTAAATTAACCTGAACAAAAATGTTATTCACTCACAGGGTATTACTTTTTTATTGAAAGACACACAGAAAGTTATAGTTAATTACAAAAAAAAAAACTCTCCTTATTTTACTTCATTCAAGTTTGGTGAAATGGTAAGTATGTAGTTACACTTACAGTATATACACCATCTGATTCCCAAGTAAAGCACTTACCGGTAGCATTCTCGGGCCTACCTCAGCTGTGTTTCCAAAAGCGAGAAAGCAGCAGAAGATGCTCAGGACAGCAGTGAATCGCAGGGAAGTCATTTTCAGTCTTATGCTGGTGGGAACATACTAAGAACTCCAACAAACCTCCTTATATACCTTGATTCTTGTTTACCCTTGGGTATCTCAAGTATACGTACAATTTTATTCTTTTATTGTCACCCATTGGTTCACACAAAGCACTTAATTATTCTCGGTTCCCATTTTCTCTAGAATTATTTTTTTTTTATCATTTTCTTATTTGCCATTGATAACTTGATCACCTTCTTTTGTTGAGGTGGTTTTGTTTTAAACCAGAGACACATCGTTCCGTTCACAAAACCTTCTCCAGTACAGTTCTCACTCACTTAAGCAAAGTAAAACAAAATCTTGAGAAGTAGATCTGTTGACATGCTTTATCTTATCCATTCCTCAGGGGGCTCACGAGGTGTGCGAGTGAAATGATGGTGAAATTTAAGTCAGGATAAGTAGAACCATGACTGTAGATTAATGATTCCCAAGAAAGCATGAAGCAGCAACACAACTGAACATAAGGACATTTACTCTGTTTTACTTCAAAAAGACTTCACTGACTACATTTATTGTAGTGGCATTACTCAGCTATGATTAGGATTTCTCCAATTTAATCAAAACACTAATACATCCTAACAAATCTACAGTTATCATACAGCATAATAGTAACATTACCAATCTTGTGAATATATCCTAATATCACAATGGTATGGAAATTTCAGTTCAGTACAACCTGTGTCCACCTATGAGCTTGACCCCAAGACACAATTTTATTTTTAGATCTTGCTATAATTTCTGGACCTTACTCATATTGACTGTTTCACTGTAAAGCCTGTGATAAATCTCAGAATTGTTCTGATATCTGCACCTTACGTTGTATTGTTTAAGCCATTCTATGAGGTTGAATACTTATATCTGCAGTTTATGCTCCTGCCACCTCGGATATTTTCATTGTCTTGAATGCGAGTCACTCTTAATGAAGACTTTGACTAAATGTTTTTTTTACAAAAGAAAAAAAGAGGAGCTTTAAACTGAAAAGCTACACCAAGTTAATATAGTATAAATGTAGGCCACACTATATTATTAATGCTATAAACCTGATTCAAAATAGTTTTTATCATGATAAATTTGAGTTGGTAAGATAAAATATCCACAGACATTGGGCATCAATTGGAGTTAAATGACCAAAGCAGAATAAGAATTATAACATTGGCGAAATTAAATCAAGAACAACTATATGATCAGATACATCAAACTTTAAATTGTGCATATCAAAAAAACCGGAGAGGGAAAGTTTTACAGCTACAATCACAAATTCAGTTTCTCAGAGTAAATTTATTTTTATGATGGAATCCATTTTAATATATTTTCCATCTATAGTACATTCACTAAATCAACTATTTTATTATTTTTTAGGTATTCAGATGTCTCAAGTTAGTCCACAACAACAGACACAACTAAATGGTTGTGCTAATGTGTAATTGAGGCATTTTTAAAGCTTTAAAACTTGAAGCTTGAAGAAGGGTTAAGATTTGCACACACTTCCTGTGGCTGTTTTCAATGCTATTAATTTTGGAAACATTGGTACCCAAGAGCACGTATTTTATTGTATATACATACAACCCAATGGACTTCAAAGCAGTGTTAAAGCAATAATTCCCAACTTTACTCATAGACTAAATCTTCTTCTAAGTGAAAATAGACCAAGCCAAACTCTAGAATCATTTGGTATTTAAGTGTTTGACTAGCACTATCTGACTCAATAAGGATAATGTACACAAGAACAAATGATTACATATGACACAGCCAGAAATAAGACGCCAGTCAGTACAACACAAAGCATTAAACAGATAAACATTTTATTGCATTGAGATTTTAGTATCAGCCAACTGTTTATGTACCAAAAGGCAAACATTCAGATAACAAGTCAGAAAAAAATAGTACAAGTGACTTATCTCACACAGAATAAATTCTGCTAAAGTGCACATTAAGATAAAATTTCAAAACAAACTCTGATTCAGTGTTACATTATTATGGTCCTGATCTTATTTTGTAATTAAAAAACTATTTAATTTAATAGCAATGAAACCACACGCTCAAAATAAATCAATAAAAATATGTTTTTATAGTTAGTTTTACAATAAACAGTTATAAATACAGTTGCAGCCTTAATCCTAATCTTAAAATTCTTCTGAATAGCATTCTTGTTTTCATATTAAGTTAGTATTTTTAACTTCTACTACTACTACTTTATATGACTTGGGAATTCCGTTACATCTCAGGAAGGTATTGGTTATATACTGTATACAAATACTCCATTAATGCTGCATTTAAAACAACAGTCCCCCATAACTGTGATCTGCGTTTTAAATTAATCCTATAAGTATATTATTCAGATTATTTCCGAAACAGCCTTCAAGTATTTGAGCTCCATTTTAAATGGATGTCTGTCCAGTGAAGGCCACATTTGGCAACAAACAAAAGCTAAAGGTTTCAACCAAAACAAACTGCAAAAAATGATACAAATATTTGTGTTTATGGAATTAGTATAAATGTAAAGATAAAGCATTACAATTTAAAATGATCTGCTTTCCAAATGCTATATAATTTCTCAAACACTTTCTCAGCCTACTGCAGAAATATTTACAGAACGTACCGTTAATGTTTAGATTTTTTTTATCTATCATACTTCAACCTTTGAAAATGTAAACCAAGCAGAATATTAAAATCAAATTTCACCTGAGCGTTTAAAAATGATCAGTTAAACATTTAAAGGGAAAAGAGTGTATTGAAAGAAGAATCAAGCTCAAACTTTCATTTAAGAAAATTTGTCAGCCACCATCTGTAGTTTCATATGTTAACAATCTTGGCAATCAGACCTGTCAAAGATGCAAAATATTTAATTACAGCTGCAGCAGAACCAAATTTCTCTGCTGAGCCGCCCTTTCTTTCTTAAGACTTTGAAGGATGACTTCAGCCCTCAAAGACCACAAGCGTTACTGAACTGTTATTTCAGTTATTCTTACTGGCTTGCAATACTTAGCTTGGTCAATGCAACATGTGTTAGCTTCTGTCTGCAATTGTAAAGATTAAAGAAAGCATGCAGGTCCATTAATATTGCAGATCGAGGCAATCGGTGAAAGCACGTTGAGCATTAGTTGGAGTGTATAGAAAACGTCACTTTCAGACAGCCAAGTTCCAGCCCACTGTTTCCCAGGACGCCTTCAACTCTGTAATTTCCATTTGTCAGCCAGTAGGGAAGGTCCACATTGGGCAAGTAAAAGTCAGTCTCTGGCAATGTATAGTCTCCCTTTGGGGGAAAAAAAAAAAAAAAGAAAAATTCAGAAATGCAGGTCAGATTTGCACAATTATGGTGTAACAGGTAGGGTTCCGGACCTGTAACCGGAAGGCAGAATAGTACAGTTCTAAGCCAGATGCTTCCCTCAGAGTCAAAGATTATTTGAATACAGATATGAGATGCCTTGCATAAAAGCATCAACCAAGTAAATTCGTGACAATAACCTTAAGGAGTCTGAAATTTCAGAATTAGAAATATGACAGATCATTTTAAATGCTTGATTGACTTTGAATCCATTGACCTGTCCTGCTGACCAGGCCACTTCTGAGAGAATAACATTTCTACAATTTCTTATTTGAAAAATGCTATTCTTATATTTATATATTTTTAAGTCTAAATGAAAATGTGAACATAAACAAAATTCACCAATATATACTCTACTTAATAGACATATACAATCTTTCTTTCTGAGACTATAAATGAATTGGGAAAGTGAGTCTTCCAAGGCTTAATATGATATAGTATAGATACCAAGTACACATAGCAAGTATAGATATACAGGTGATTAAGCAGTGTCAGTAGCAAAACCTATTGGTCCACCTTTAAGTATCTTAAAAACTTAAACTCAAAACAATTAATAATATGAGAGACAACACAGTTAAACATTTACATGTAGATTAGTTTAACAAAAACAATATTATTACAAAATTTTGCTTAGTAATATTTACTTTTGACATTTAAGGCTTCCGTCATAAAGATCAGCCTTTATTCAATAATATTCTGGGAATCCTTAGAGAAGTCGCATTTGTAGATAAGTTGCAAAAGATTTCTTGTGACATGATTTTGTGGTTGACAAACAGAGTGCTGACAGTTTGTGGTGCAACTGTGCTCTTCCAAATTTTTAAAGTTGCATTTTCCTTTAAAATATGATATTTAAAAGCCTTTTTAAGAACAAGTTTATAAAAATTTCAGAAAAAGACTAGCAAATTACATATACAGTAGGTTCTCAGTGTCTGCAAATTTAACATTCACCAATTTAAATTTGGGCAGAGCTGGAAACCGAGTCATAGCGTAACTGCAACATTCATATTAGAGGCGCAAAAAAATAGGATTGTAGATTGTTTTCATATTGTAACGAACGCTCCAGGCTCTGGGTCAGCAGTGTGGGAAATCACAGGTTGGAGACGACTACCATGTTTTTGCCCATTTTATTATAGTGGGTGCTAATCACGGATTCAGGCTGAGAAAGTGATGGCTGGATGCAGAAGAGGGGTTCCTGTTGTTTATTTTAATTGATTACTATAAGCTTGTGCTTGCCGTTGTTTCTTTTAGTTGATCAATGTTATTTACATTAACTTAAACCCAGTGCACTAGCACGTTAATTATCATGGAAGGGAGAGTTACTTTTGCCTTTTAACCATTCAAACTATAGACTTTATTACATTATGCGATGCGACTTAGGCTGTTCAGGACAGATGGCTACACCAAGCCCTCATGAACGTTGGGACCCCACTGTATGTAATTTTGATACAGCCCTGGGCTCAAAAAATATCTCTATAAGAGCTTGTGCTTCTTTTATGACCAATGTGATGAACTCACAGCCTTGAAAGGGCAGTGGCAGGGAATGCCATAGGTGTGCAGGGGCTCTGGACAGGCCTGGCCTGGGGGAATCGCCTTGTCCAAAAGTTGACAGACGTCAGTGTAATCACAGCTCCCAATCTCTTCCACACAGGGTACCTTCACCCAAACCCCATATACTTCTTTCTCCACAGTCAGATTGACCTGAGGGGAAAAAAAAAATCATGAACACTGATGTAACACAACCAATCCATTTTCAGCTTCTGTTCGAACAGTATTCCATAAGACTTGGGTATGACACAACTCCACTTGCACACACATTGATAATGATGTTATTTTATACAGCAAATAGTGTATTCCAAGACTCTGTGCATCAATGGCACACAAATGAGAAGACATTAAAGACAAAAACAGGAATGACACCACAATGGCAACGTAAATATTAAGAGAGCACAATGAGTTTTGAGTTATGTTTGTAGATCAACAAAAATGAACTCAAAGTCCCTTAGTCTTACGCTGAGTCTTTCACTAATTTTGCACGCGGCAGAATACAATCCTGAATTGGAGAAAAAGTTAGGTGACATTCAAGAGTTCCTGCCAGAGCAACCGTAGCCATTCATTATGGCCTTGTACTGTATCATTACCCACTTTCTCCTACAAATCCAAAGCCCCTTAGCTATAAGCTACAAATTCCAAACGCGACAACATTAGCACACTTATTATTTTTAAATTTCAGATTTTGAAACAGTTTTAAGAAGGCGTTTTAGTGTCTTCCTAAAAGGGTGACTCTGTTTTATATCTGAGCAGGAGGAAAAAAGTTTAACTTTGTGGTATAAACTAACAATATAAATGCAACACATTTTACCGATATAACCCTTAACAGGAGGGAGCATGTGATTCTCAGTTGGAACTCTTACCTTTTCTTGCATTTTCCACATTTATTCATGTGACTGCTGATAAGAACATGATGTGAACTCAAGTAGCCCATTACCTTACGTAAGAAAACCTTAAGTGCTGTTTCCATCCAAGCTGTGACAGAGACACAAATATCTGTACTTAGGAAAATGTGTTTTTTTTTTGTAAGCTATCGTTAACACTTTCTCAGATAATACAATAATACCTTACAAATAATGAGGAAAGGGAATGCATTAAAAAGAAATTTGTTTCAAAATTCCCAGCACATAAAATTGTCATCTCAAATACTACATCATGACCAATTAGAAACATATAAACATAAGATTAGATTAGGCCTCTTTAAAAAAAGCCACTCAAGCAACTTTAAATCTTCCACAAAACAGCAGTGTTTTTTACCGGTTTCCTTCTGTGAATTAAAAATTCAAACTCTTACTCTAATACATACTTAATTTGGGAGGATGTCAACCCTTAACCCACCTAATCTGCTCTCAAGTATAAATATCGTCATTTAAGCACACCTCAGACAGGTGAGTTAATAAATCAGTCTAATTCAATTACACCTTATTATGTCTTAATTTGTTTTTAACCAAGCTCCGGAAATCAAAGATTAAGTGCATTTTTACACATGCTATCACCACAGTCGATTTTCTTGAAAGGAAAACTAACATTCTTCAGTATGTCACTTGACAATGGCTCGACAGCTCATCCAGAGTGACTATGAGACCTTATGAAACTTGTGACTTACCAGTTTCTGTTCAACAACAACATGCTAAAACCTGTATAACACCTACTGCATGCCAACGTCAGGAACATTTCAACCTTAATCACACAGAGAATAACAGAATAATCCATGGTAATTCTAAGACTTTTATCAGAAAGCATTTTTGACATAAAAACAAAGATGCAAAGACCAAACTAAAAAAGAAAATGTTTTGCACATAGGTTTTACATCTACTAAAATGAAAGTTTGGCTATTTTTCAACATTCTTTGAGTTTCCACCATGTAGAAGCAGACAAAACTGTATATACAGAATTTCCTGCTCATAAAACTAGGGTCACTGGGATCAATTACTAGATTATTGTTTCTATTGATTATTGTTAATTGTATTATGTATCTGGCAATGCAAATCTCACTTTACAAATCCATATGTTCTAAAGTATTAAGGATATGATTGTTGGAGTGGGTTCTTTACACACTAACAACTTAATAATTAAAACAATTCCTTAGAGCTAGGTTTAGAAAGAACAGGTCATGGATTATGACTGCTATATTACACACGTACACATTTATATACTAGTGTCAATGCAACTACTGGGGAATTATTGCAACACAGTACTTGTAAGAAGTCTATTGTTATGACAAAAGTTAAAACATACAAGAAGACCCCTAATATTTTCTTCTCTAGAATGTTTTGACCTATTTTACAGTTATATATAAAACATTTGTCAAAAGTCACTGTCATAAAGTCAAACCAATGGATTTTTTTTTAATCAATATTCAAACACAATCCAGAGAGCAGAAATGTAAAGTACTAGGAAGAGCATTTTAAACGAAGAAAACGAAACATTTTGTTTTTACACAAAGCATTGTGGGTGTTTTGAGAAAGGCTACTCAGCCATAGTTCTGTAGGAGATACACTGGCTTCTTTCAAAAAAACATAGTGGGTGTTTTGGCTGGATGAGATCGAGCTCTTAGCACCCTTTTTATATTCATATGCATTGCATGCTAACCTTTTATTTTACTGTTCTGGGCTTCAAGCACTGCAAACAAAACCATAATTTCACCACTGGAATTTCCCAGTGGTGTGTTAGTGTATACAGAATGAAACTAAACTGTTCATGGAACACTGAACTTTTTCATCAAAAAAAGTTACTTCCTTGTAGCAGCATGTTTGCAATTTTTCTAGTTGACAGTTTTGTTCCTTGGTATCCTAAACGGAATGTATCATATGACTTCCTTGGGTTACATCAGAAGCCATTAAAGTCTCAATACTGTAGATTGCTCATATAACATACAGTATGACCATACAGTTTCTGATTTTAACTTATAACAGGTTTTTAAGGTTTGAATAGTAAAAACACTGTAGTCGAAAGCTGGATTTTGAATTTTGTTATAAGGTGTAAGGTAGGCTACATAAAACATATAATGGATCGTCTAAGAGGGTACTGTATAATGCCAACAACATAAAGCCTATGATTTTATAGCTCTAGAAATAAAAGATTCATGACCAACGTTCTTGGCTGTTCTGTTGAACTTTGATACAACAGAAGAAACCGTGAAATTATAGGATATCAGAATTCGTTTTAGAGAGATCCCTATAAGCATTTATTTATTCTTAAAAGCAAGAATGCAGGTAACATCCTGACATGAATGGATTTAGTTTGTAATGTGCACACTACGACTTAAAGAAATAAAAGTAGAACTGAGACACTTTCAGCTAGCATGTGAGATTGCCAATCCTGGTTCAGGTCTTTAAACCAGCATAATTTGTTTTCATTAATATCTTATTACACTCCAGGGTTTTTGAGTTTCAGAGTCCTTTCGATCTCAACCCAAGGTTAATGTTCCTTATATATAAAAAGACACACAGTGGCGTTACGTGTGAGAGTGAAGTCACATTCAAAATGTATGGCTATTTTCCAGTGTTATGTACTCAATGTGTAAAAACAAACATTACCTCATTTATCCCTCCTAAAGAACAGTACTTTGTAAAAGAGCAGGCATTAAAGCTACGTGATTTATAGATTAGATAAAATAGTCCTTTAAATTTAACCTTCACCTTATGGAGATTCCCGTCTTATAAAATAACTGAGACTTTGCAGCTCACTATACACGTAAACGTTACCTTGCAACCAGTAACATCGACACCTGCAACTAACACGAGAGGAGTCCGAAAAGCATTTTGGAAACATCATATATAAGTGAAAGCCTTTTGATTTTTGCTCTGGCTGAAAAGAAACGAAAGTCATTGTATCGACAAGAGTATTTAAATTCTTTAAATTAAATAAATATATACAAGAGACGCAATGGTATATGGCGCACTGCTAACACCAGTACCCCAGAAGTAATAGCATCATGGTGCAGTGTATTTGACACGTTAATATTCTTGGGTAGATACTGATTAATGCTTTTCCTTCAGTTTTTGATGCTGGATGGGTAACACATACTCTGAAAGCATGCTTGCTCTCTCTTCCCCAGCCCCCAGCCCCCAGCCCCCGTACTCACGGCCAGCGGAGAGGTAAGCGCTACTGCTGTCGAACCCGCCGCGCTGGCTTTCAGGTCCCCGGGAATAGAAATGGGATCCGGCGACAACGCCAGACTCTTCATCACCGCCGGGTCTTTGGCTTGGCCGCAGTTCTCCCAGGAGAAACCGATGACCTGCAACATTTGGACAGTTAGTGTCTTCTCCGGAACTTTCTTCAGGTGACCCGTCTCCGCATCACCTGAAGAGAGAGGCGAAAAGACTTTATATCTAGCAAAATGCACCACGCCGGAGGTAACAAAGGAACGCGAATACAACCTGTAAATAAAAACAAATGAATCTATTATGCTTACAACTGTTGGTCACACGCTTGTCTTGAAACACATTTACTGTAGCAATGCGGGTTTTGTCAGTTGCAAGTGTTGCGAGGGTCGGTGCCGTGTTTCATATCGCACTCACCTTGGTAGATTTAAAAGAGCTTCTTTTTAAAATGTATTCGCATCTTCCCTGCTGAAGACAAATGCACAACACGCACAACAATAAAGAGGAGGAAGGACTGGTGTGCATTGTAAAGGCGGAAAATAATTCAGGAAACGTTTTCAGGCATAAATTTAAGGTTTGATCTGTCTAAATCAAACAAATGCAGAGACTGGATATTCTCTACTGTTTCGAAGCCAAAGGTTGCTGCACAATGTCCAGAGAGAAAACTGTTTTGTTGGCTTCACTGAAATGTCGATTGCATTTCTTCCTGATTTATTTCAGTTTTTTTTCCCACACGATTTAACATTGCAGAGACCTCTAAAGGAAGGAGGACCGAACAGGACTTTCTTTCGTGTCGTGAAAAAAAAATCGGCATTTAATTCGCACTGTATCGATATACTGTATACTGTACTGCAGAGAAATAACGTACTGTAATGTGAGTAGAAAAAAGGTATTTTAATGCCTTTTAATGCAAAATATTATATTACATGCATCATTTTGCTTCTTCATCAGAAATTGTTTATTTTGGAATCTACCCACGGTTTCTTTTTTCATGGTTATAAAACTGCTCAAAATGTTGTTCTTAATTATGTGAATTAAATGTATTATGTGAATTAAATGCAGAATGTAAACTAAATTCAGTTTACTGATGGTAGCTTTGTCAGGACCTTCTACTTTTGGTAAGGGTAGAAAAAAATGGATGTTTAAACTATTAGGCTAAAAAGTCTTTTTATATATTGCGTCATTTTAATAATGAAAAAGGTTATATTTTAATAGTAACTTTATGTGAGAGCTTTAGTTGACATTTAGCGTGAACAGTACGAAATATTCCTTTAGACAATCACACGGGAGGATTAGAATTAATTTATTTTCGCCATTGCTAAGGAACTGTATTTTATTGCTATAGGACTATTTAAAATGTTAACTTTTCTACTAAGTACATTTCAGCATGCTTGCCTTTCTTAAATACACGCCCTTCCCATAATTGTACCCATTCTTTAATGTACCACTAGGTGTCACGCTGCTAAAGATCATCTGGAAAAACATTTACCAACAAATACAAGAAGTACAGTTAAAAAAATAGTTTTATTTACAGTATTGTTACTGTTCTATACAAAATGTTTCGTTTCTCTTTCTGGTTTTGTTACTACTGAATATTAAGTATAATATGCAATTTTCTTAATCCTTCTTTCTTGTTTCAAAAAACTATAAATCAATGGAGTCAAAATGGTTTACCGCTGTTTGCATGTCCTTAAACTAGTGTTCTCGTCTACAAAATAATTATTTTGGCAGGTATTGACAGGTCTTGCACTTTGTTGAGTCAAATACTTTAAGACAAATTATCAGTGAGTTCATTTGTAGCAGTCAAAAACAATAAATATAGTTAAAAATATACACATTTTTAATTAACTTTTACAATAACGAGAAGTTGTGCGTAACTGGAAGCTTTCATTTTCTGAAATAATTGTCTACCTCTTCGTTATGTATTTAACTCTGTGGCTAAGGATCTGTGCCTGTGGCCGGAAGGTTGCCAGTTCGTATCCTGCAGTCGGCAGAGGAATCCTACTCCGTTGGGCCCCTGAGCAAGGCCCTTAACCCCAAGTGCTCCAGGGGTGCCGTATAAATGGCTGACCCTGCGCTCTGACCCCCAGCTTCTCTCTCTGTCTGTGTGTCTCATGGAGGACAAGTTGGGGTATGGGAAAAGACAAATTCCTAATGCAAGAAATTGTATATGGCCAATAAAGTGATCTTATCTTACCTCTGCCAATGCTCATTGTGCGTGAGGTTTTTACACATGGGCACTTAATGCTTCCATTTATTTTAGAAATTAAATCCATGTTAAAGTTTGATTGAGAGGCGCCTAAACATAAATGTTCATAAAAGATTAATTATTGAAGTTCCATTTAAACAGCACTAATATGAGTTTATTAAGACCCGTCTATCTTGTTAGTCGTAGGGAACAAAATTAAACTGGCGCTGTTTCTCGTTTGTGTTTATTTATTCTATTGATATTTTTGTTGGCAAGAAAAATAAATCCTAGCTACTAATTACCCAAGAAAAACTGAACCTATTCTTCATTTTAAATGAGATTCCTGTCTGTTGGCGGCAGTTGATGATAGGTAGCAGTGAAAATAATTTACAGTAACCACTAATGAGACGTTTTTTTTAATTGGGTGGTGTCATTTATTGTCAGCTTTAAGTGTCTATATAAAGTTGCCTAACTGCCTTTTCTCTCTCTCTAAAGAACTGGCATTATCTCCAGGTGGTCACAAATGTTATTTCTCTTATATTTTCAGTGTACTCTGTGTGCTATTAGCTCAACAATTAGCTCATTATAGTCTGCATGTGACTGCAAAGTAAATTTTGAATAATACAGTTGGACCCATGAGACGTATGTGACTCACTTAAGCCATCTCTTATCCCTGAGGTGTGCCAAGAGATAATGGACAATTATTATTCCTAGCATTGTGACATGCATTTGCAAACTAGCTTTGGCTGCTATATTTTTATATATGCTGTTTATATTCTTGACATGGTTTTTATTATTTCATATCCTACGTATAACATATTCTGTTATGTGTTAATTCAGTGTGATATTGTATTCATTAAGTACAGCTTCTTCAGCTTTTTCTCGCTAGATAGTGGCTTGTCTCTGCAATTATTGATCACCCCAACCACAGCAAAGAATTCTTCAGAAAACACTTTGTCTTGAAGAAAAGAAAATAACTTTTTTATGATGGGAATACATCGGTTGTGCATGAGGTTAAATGCTTCACTAAGGCAGTCTGAAATCGAAAACTAGAAGTGTCTTTCACTGCCTTACCAATATCTTGGCAAGAATTCCTGATGCTTGCAACAGCAATTGAAGAAGAAAATGACTGTGTCCATTCTGATGTTTGCCACTTTTACAGATAGCAGTTATTTCTTATTCTACTAAACCTTTTTAAATGGGGATTTAATCAGAAATGTGCAGTTGTTTCTTGATTGTCTTTTAGTGAACTGTCATGATGTATCATAAAATGTAGTTTTGTTTGGTCTGTCAATAGCAATCTGATTCTTGAAATGGGCATGGTTTCTGGTGTTAGTAAATTTGCAGAGATGATTTAAGGCTCTGGACCTATAGTCGGGAAGATATGAGTATATGTCCTTTACGTGAAAAGAGATCATTGAGCAGTGTACTTTGCCGAGTTTGTCCAAATCCCCAGGTACTCCAACCTGCAGTTAACTAGCATCTCATCCAGGGGGGAGTACCGTGCTCTCAGTTCACGTAAAGCAGTGGAGCATAACCTTGCTCTTCAAGTGACACAATCTGGCAGGTGTTGTCAATTACATTTGTTTAAATTGGTCCAGTTAAGCTAACAATTCTTCCAATTAGCTGGTTAAGAGCCCAGCAAGGTAGAGAACCCGAAGACTCTGGGACCATTCACACTGGAGTGAAGGTGGCCCTGAGGCAGAGTAGAGGCAACAAGTGTGAAAGGAGTCTGAGACACTTAGTCTTGCAAAAGACTTGAGTTGCAGGAATGTGAAATGAGTGTGGGATTGGGGATAAGTGTAAAAATCCTATTGCAGATGATTTCCTTATTATGAATGCATCTAATTTGAGAGAATAATTTAGGCAGTGTTGCATTGTGCTAACACATGTCCTGCTGAGGAAAAAAAATCTGCAAACAGTCGATCAATGGAAAATGTCAAAAACTACAGTGTGAATTTCACTTTACATGAAATTGCAAAGTATTTCTAATTAATGACTGGTATTTAAATTTCAATTATTACTTCCCTTAATACTTTAAAGATCTGTGATGCAACATTATATACCCAGGCATCAAAACGTTAGCAACATGTAGTTTGGCTTCTTGAACATTTATAGCTCGGTTGTATCAGGCATGTCAGTTTATATGGAAGGTGAGGAAAGGAGTATAGACCTGAGCATTTAGCACAAGTCCCTAAAAGTACAGTACATGTGAAAGGTTTGGATTGGGGTAATGTTTCCTTATAAAGGTTTGGTTTATCCCCCACAGAAAGATTAAGTTTATGAATGGAAGTAAGTAGTCTTCAAGGAATTTTGGCTTGATACGAATAAGTGTCAGATGGACTAAGCTGTTTTTAGTGTGAGGTTAATCACACAGCTTTAGAAAGGTAATGCAGAAGCAAACTTGAAATACTGGTGATACCACCTCCACACTTCAAGGTTTCCGGGACCACAGCAGAGCAGTTCATTTTTGTGCTTGGGAATGGATAGTTATTTTACATTTAAAGGGGTATACCTCTACAGTAGTACAATTTAACATTTTACCTACTTATGCATTGACTTTTTAAAAGGGAAGAAGGATTTGATGTGTCATTTTAGATTCTCAACACTTTACTTTTGTGAGGTCCACTGGCTATTATATTCCTCTTTCAGGAAAAAAAAGAGCAGAATTTGCCTGTCGGCAAAAAGATTAAGCAAAGATTTGACAAGATTAAACTTGCTGTTTCTGTAATCGGCCTAGCTATATTGGAGAAAGGAAGCTCTGTTGAGAAACTAAAGAGGGAGTTCAGTACAATACAGAAGAATATTAAATAATATTCAAATATTAAATACAATTAGAGAAACATGCTGCCTTTATTTGTGATTTATTGTGCTGTAGTGGGCTGTCATTTGCTCTTTAAATATAAATTCAAAACACCTTTTACTCACTTAGAGAATTAGCACAGTACTAGAAATAAAGAAAAAAAAACAATAGAAACAAGAAACCACTGTGTCAAGCTGAACCATTTGTAATGTGTGTTTCTTTGGTGATGCTTCAGACAGTTTAGTTTTTGGATTTTTCTCAAAAATACCAATGCAGGATTGCCAATGAGTTTCTGAAGCAAGGGCACTCCTGCATAGTTGTGGGCTGTAGTAAACATCAAAGCAATTGCACATTGTGGTGTTGGGGTTCATCGCAAGTAGACGTCAGAATAGGGGTGGTATTTTGATGAGCTGTGGAACACCACCAGTTTTTGTATGTTACCTAACAGTGCCTGGGAGGGTGCCACATTAAAAGAACATTGGTTGAATAATGGTATTTGTGAGCCACATAAAGAGATAGGTGTGCTAAAATACTGTGTCCTTCACAATGTTCTGACCAAGAACATTTCTGTTTTAACTAGTGAAACACCAGCGTGCCTTGAAGGCAGTGTGATTACAAGGAACGTAGCTCTGTTTGTTTACCCATGAAACTATTGCGGTGAACTAGGGTCCAACCATAAAAAAGGTGTAACAGTGCACAGGCATAACCACACTGAACCCAGCCTGTTCATGGCAGAAGAAGAAAGGAATACAATGTGCAAACAATATTCATTTG